AAGCACATAGTTATATATGTACTAAGTAACTGCTGTTAATAGTCATAGATAGTTTATCGTTCACATGGATACCGAGTGATCAGGTCAGTTAACAGGATAGAGGGAGGAGCTTTGTTCTAGCACTTTCAAGCTGGAACAGCAAATTGTGTAGTGAATTACTTCTGTTACTCAATTCCTTTCCACAACCATGTGGTCCAACACCTGCTAGTTACCTGTTTTTATTTCTGCAGTAAATAGCTGTTCTGTTTTGAGTATGCTTTTATGGCCCTGAAATAGAAGTATAGAGAAATGTAGATATGGGATGATAACCAAGGAAAAGTGTGACCAATAGCTAATTACTCACTGCAATGAGAATAGCTGCACAGTTGGCAGTGCATAAAGCTGGATTCAGTCATAGTCATTTAGTCAAAGAACACAAGGAGGACATACCCAATGTCAACACAGCATGTGTAATAAAATCAGGCTTCATGTGCAACTGAGAACCAAGAAAGAAGAAGTGTTGTCTTGCCAAACATGTGGAAATTATCACTCCTGGGTTCTTGGGTAGCAAAGGCACTGCCATCAACAGCAGGATGTTCTTTCTGGTAGAGACTGTGGGGCACTGGAAGTTTGCCACAGACTCCTCTCCTTGTCCATCTCCTTGAGAAAAGCTGGTGCCACTGACTCAGGAGGGGCATGGAAGAAGGTGAATGTGACATGAGAGAAGAGAGGGAGGTACCAGGGACTGCATGCAGAACTATTTTCCTTTCTCCACTCCCCCCTTGCTGATAAAAAATTAAACTAGTAGCTGTTTTCTTATAGGAGAGTTTTGTTAGACTAACAAGAAATTCTTGGCTTCTTGCAGACAGTGTGCTTCCCTTTTGTCCCATGACAAGCTTTGTTGCACTTCACTTCCATAAAAGCAGAGGGAGTTGTGCTGTTTATGTCTGATTAATTATCTGGCAGCCATATTTCTGTATGTACTTTAAGAAAAAATTATATAGCAGATAACTAGGGACAAGTAAATTCTAGAATATAGCAGATAACTAGGGACAAGCAAATTCTAGGATAGCTGTTGCTGTTCACTTCTCTTTGCAGAGATTTATTTTTAAATCCAACATGCACTTATGTAAAGAAAAAAAGAACCTAAAATTCTTCTTCAATTTTTCACATATTTGTTTTGGTTTTGGTTTTTTTTTAATTATTAATAGTCCAGTGGGGGGAAAAAGGTGCTATTCCTCTGTAGAATTAGCATTTTGATGAGATTTCCTCTAGTCTAGTTGTAATTTAAATCAAAAAAGGACATATACAAAGATTTTACACTACCCTAGCAGAAAAATACTTTATACATTTCTTAAATTAATTCCATATGCTCCTTAAATATGTGCAATTGTTATTAATATACTTCAGTGCTTTATGCAAAGTGCTTGATTCTCTTCACAGTTAATTAAGCCCTCTGCTGTTCAAATTGCTGTAATCATTTTAACAGGCAGTGGTTTTAAGGATCATGGACCATGTCTTTTACTCATAAAAATCTTATTTTAAATTTTGAAAAACTGAGTGTAGGTCTTTCCAAGAATACATATCAAGATAATTTTATTTCCTCACTCTCTCTTGTCTCCAGCACAGATCCATGTCACATCTCAGCAGCACATGTTTAGGTGAGTTTGTGTGTGTAACCACAGAAGGGTTGCCTGGGTTCTCTGGGAAGCCAAATGGTGCAGGTAAGAGGGAGCACAAGCAGCTCTCTGCTCCTTGTGAGGTTTCAAGACAGCTTTTTTCCACCCATAACCCAATAACAAAATAGTACAGACAGAAACTGCAACATCTGTGATGCTTCTCTTTGGAACCACCAAGATCAAGTGTCACTGCGATGCCCAACTTCATTTTCCAAATACTGAGGCATGGGGGATTGAAATTCAACAGAGGATTCAGAAAAGACGGGTGGAACAGTTACAGGTTCATCTCACAGACTCCAGGGCTGTCCCTGGGAGCCCCTAGACAGCCTGCAGGAGCTGGGGCCAGGGCTTTGCACAGCCTGCTCTTCCCAAAGGAACGGTGAGCCCGTGCTGAGCCAAAGGGCTGCTGAACACTGGCAGAGCTCCTCTCCAGGAGACACTGCCTTCAGTCCAGGTGGGTGCATCTCCTGCTCCTCCCCAGTGCCCATCTCCTGCTCCCCCCCACTGCCCATCTCCTGCTCTTCCCCCACTCCTCATCTTAGTGTGTGCATCTGAATAGTCAGTGTATCCCAAGGCAACCTAATATGCACTGCATTTTGCTACACAATTGGTTTTAGAAAAATAATTTTCATAATTACAACTGGTTTGGTTTAATGGTATGGGTAATTATTGTGGGTAAACATTTATTTCTAAAGTATTTTTCTTTTTTCTGTAAAAAAATTTAGTAGAAAAGTCATATTGTATTTTGAGAGCTTCTTGGCATTTTAAAAAGTCGTAACCAAGATAAATGATAACTATTTTTGAAGACATAGATACTCTTTCTCTTTAGCAGCATGGATTTTCTACTAATCTTGTAATAACTCAATCAAATGTAAACAATAAATATTCTAGCTACCTCTTAGAAAAGTCTTCTCTGAAGTTTCTGTTCTTTCCACAGTGGAACTAGGATTTCATCTAATGGAATTGCACTGTCAAAATAAACAAAAGTCAAACACTTTGACAAAATATTTTTAGCTTCTTCAAGAAAACTGCAGTACAGAAGTACACTTAGAACATTGAAAATTATCTTCTGCTCTTTTATTTTGAAGTGCTGCAATTCTTATATTTCAAATAACAGTAAAGCAGTTAATTGGAACAGAAATGCCTTTCGACTTCTGATGTCATAGTGACCATATTCTTTCTTACATTACTTTGTTTTTTGGATCCTGGATGTTTAATATGTTATGATGCCAAAACATACTGTTTCTAAACAGCTAAAAACATAAGAAAGATTGATAGAGCTATGCTATTGCTTGCTGTGTTCTTAATGTTTTGTAGATGTGTGGTACATGTGAGCTGCATTAAACTACTGACCAGTTTATCACAGTTTATTCCCCACACACTTTTATTTGTGCCCTTTTTTTCTCAACCTGCAGCAGCTGAATATTCCTTGCAGGTACTGTGGCCCTTGGAGAGCTCTCACTGGAGCAGATATTTTTGAACAGGAGGAGGAATAGGGAGGGACCTTGACCCCCAACCCTGTTCTGCTGCTGAAGGGGCAGGAAAAGAAGTTGAGCTGAGCCCAGCAAAAGATGGGGAGGAGCTATTGGGTTTTATTTTTGTTTCTGTTTCTCACTATCCAAATGTATTTTAAATAACAATACATTTAAATTCATCTTGGCCAGCTTTGTTCTGTCCTAGATGGTGTCCATTAAGTGATCTTCCTGCCCCTTATCCTGGCCCATGAACTCTTTCATCCTATTTTCACCCCTTGTCCTCCTGAGGAGAGGGGAAGTGGGGTGAGCATGTGGGTGAGTGTTTGGATGCTGGCCAAAGGTTATCCACCACACAATATTTACATTTCTATTAAACAAGATCTATTTTACTCAGATCAAATTATAGTTGAGCATAAATTGATTTTCTACTTTGCATTTCTGTTGCATATTCAAAAATTATTAAATCAAATCTCTTTTTATAGGCTGTCTCTTCATTGCTACAAGTGACAGAGTATTTTTAAACTTATCAAATAGAAAGATGAATGTCCTGCTGCATTTTCCTTTGTGTTGATACACAATTCCTCTGGAAAAGACTTTACAGCAAGTAAACAGCAAATCAAGGACCTTTGAGCTTGTCCTCTGATTCTCCATGGGAACAGAGGTAGGATCTCTGATTATTTCAGTCCTCCTAAATCTGTAATTTCTTTGTGGACCAGCAACAAACTACTAAAGAATCTACCAAAAAAACCCACATGGTTGTATGACTGGGATGAATCTACAGTTTCAAAGATGATGGTAAAAGCTGTTTTAATTTTGCTGTTTGATTGTGAGCTACACATTGCATCTGTTAAAAAGTTTTGGTACAAAAAATCTGAAAAAAACGTGATTTACTATACTTTTTCATGTCCCTTTCAAATACATGTAGAGACCAGAAAAGCACTTAAACACAGTTAACTTGCCCTTCTCTCCAGGTGGCATTCTTGGGTGTAAGCAGCTCATGGTGTGAGGGATACATGTGATTATATTCTTCTCCCTGTAAACTGTGGAGCATCTCCAAGGCTTACATAATTTTTTGTATTGTTTCATTGAAGGAAGCCAAAATTTCAAACTGGCTATTATGGAAATCACAAAGAACTACCCAAAGTTCTGAATGTGCACAGATCCAATATTTTTAATTTACCTGTCTGCAGTCTGGGAGGATGGGATCCCTCAGCTGAAGCCAATTGAAATGTATGGATCTAGATTAAGACAGTTGTTTCAGGCATTCTTTACAGAGATAGTTGCTGGCAGGGGGCACTTCATCTCCAAGTCTGTCTGCATTAATGTTTTATAGAGCCCAGACAATCACTTTCAGCCATGCTTTAAATTTTTGATTTATCATAATAGCTTCCAATGCTATGAATCCATAATCAATCATAATATTTCATTAACTCTGGATGATTCAATTATGTGATAACTTTTTGTAAAGCCTACAGGAACTTAAAATGTCTTTATATTTTACAATTATTTCAATATTTAATATAGATCAGAATAATTTCTGTTCTATCTGATGAAATTATTACTTTTAATAGTGTATTTATTTAGTTTCATTTATTTCTTATTGTTTCTATCATACTGTATTTCTCTTAGGAAGAAAAGCCTGAAAATTTAATACAGAAATTTTAATTTTTTTTATCTTTGATAAAAATTTTTGCAATTTATTCTAAAATGAAATAATAGGATTCTTTTAATAATAAGAAACTGAAAGGAATCCTGAGGAATTAGAAGCCTGAAGGCGGGTTTTATCTTTGTGTCACGGAGGAAAACAATTAGCTGCTATTCTAACAAAATATCTGCACTTATTGTGCATCCTGTTACAGCTACCAGCATGAGCTGTTGTAGTGGATTCTTCTGTCCCATGGAATGCATCAAGAGAAGTCTTTTCCTGGTTTTCACCATCTCTTTTACAATATATTTGATTTCCTATTTTTATACTTCTCCTCACCTTGCTGCTCGACCTAAAAGTAATGATCTTCACATGGAAAGTGAAAAGAGTTTATTTAGAAAATTATCTATAAATTTCAAACAAATCTTAGGGAAACAAAATGGAGAACTACCACCTGAAAATGAGAAATCTGGGAATAAAGCCACGCCCACTCCAACACAGCTATTTGCATTCATTACTAACAAAGAAGAGAAGTGTAAAGATAGAACACCTTTCTTGGTATTGCTGATATCAACAACAGCAGCCGAGCTGCAGCACAGAAAAGCCATCCGGGAGAGCTGGGCGAGCGAAGCCGCGGTTCCTAGCGCGGACATTGTTCGGCTGTTCATGCTGGGCATTGACCCCAGGGGTGACAAAGGGGACGTTCTGCTGAGAGAAAGTGAGCAGTATCATGACATCATCCAGCAGGACTTCCTGGACACTTACAACAACTTAACTCTTAAAACTCTGATGGGCATGAGCGGGGTGGCCACCTACTGCAGTGGCGCGAGGTTTGCTATGAAGACAGACAGTGATGTTTTTGTCAACATGATGCACTTGATTGAAAAGCTCCTCAGGCCTCTCCCACCTCCCACACAGAATTATTTCACAGGCCATTTAATGACAGGGCACAGGCCTATTCGGAATAAAGCCAGTAAATGGTACATATCAGAAGAAGAATTCCCAGAAAACAAATACCACCCTTTCTGTTCAGGAACTGGCTACGTGTTTTCTGGAGACCTGGCTGCAAAAATTGTAGATGCTTCTTTAATGATTAAATTTATACATTTGGAAGATGTTTACGTAGGGTTTTGTCTTAATGCAAAGGGAGTAGAAATAGCACCATCTCCTAAATCGCTGTTTAACATACACAAGGTTCCATTTTCTCCTTGTGCGTACAATGAGTTAATTACATCTCATCACATTGAGCCACATGAGCACATACTCTATTGGGAAACACTGCAAGAGAAGAAACACACATGTCAGGAAAGAAAGGTCCATCCTGGAGCATCCTAGGAACTTGCTTTGACAATGGGCAAAGCAGCAGATGTTTTCTTAGTAGCAACAGAACACCTGTGTAATGATAACTTTCAAGGTCCACGGACATCCTGAATCAGGTGCCTAGGTTTTGTATTAGGTTGAATTCAAAGGATTTTTCCTCCATAAAGAAGCCTTTCTCTGTTGAGTGAATTCTGATTTACCTTATTTAGTTCTGGATGAAGCATCAATTAATTTTTAAAGCCAGCAAGAGACCATATCAACCCTACTGAAGAAAAGGCAAAGACAATGCAATAAAACTTGTTCTTTCATTAAAAATGAATAAGTTAATGTGTTAATTTCATACTGCTCGATGTAATTTGCCTATGTACCATTAAATGTACTCATGTGGCATTCCAGTGTGACCGAAGAAGGAAGCATACAAGATATCCTGTGCTGGGGAATTAGTGCCAGAAATGTGGGCAGAAATTGCGTCTTCAGAAAATCTAACATTAGCATTTCCCAGATCTCAGTGCCCAGAGTGGCTACTACTCTCTGTGGTTATATATACATAGAAAACCTCACACACAAGATACCACTTATTTGTTATCATGGAGATGTAATAAAAAGAGGAAAATTAAATGCAGATAGACTGACCTGTTAGTGATATATTAAACTGCATTTTAGGGCATTCGGCTGTGTACAAAATATCATCATAGTTAAGTAAAAAATAAGATGGTGCTTACTAACCTCAGAAGATAAAAGTTTCAGTCAAAATCCCTATCAGACGCACATGGAAATCAGAATGTCAATCACATTAATACCAAACACTTCAGCTGGAAGTGAAAAGTGAGTATACATTATATGCATCCCCAATGACATTTTGTAAATGTACATGATGGTGTTTCATGAAGAAGCCCCTGAATCCTGCAGTGCAATCTTTGTGTGCTCTGTGCAGCTCCATTCCACTGACAGTGGGAACCTGTGGTGCAGCCACTGAACACAATGCATTTCTCCCTTACAGGAATTTGGTCTTAGACCTTTTTATTAAGGAATATTATTGCTCAGCTAATACCTGCACAGGACAATTTTTCTATCTCAAATGGGCACCTATTCATCTGGACTTCAAAGACCTTTTTGCATTTACCTCGGGAAAGATACAGCTAGCAAGGACAACATTCCCTCAGGGCTTTCCTAGCCCTGAGGTCTCTCCATAATTTCTAAAATGTTAAAAGTTTTACAGGAAGTTGTGTTAAAAAAATGAGTCTTTTTGGACATAATATGTTGAAATATTATGTCATATTGAATATTTCTATCATATTGAATATGATAGAAACCATGACATCTTGTGATGCCTAGACAGGCTGAACCTGGAACAGAGACTAGACAGAACTAAAGGAATAAAGTAGGTATTTATTAAAAGGTCTCAATGGATACACCTTGGGCAGTACAAGTGCCTGCCCAGGGCTACACCCAAAATGGTCACAAAAATGGATGATTGGTCATGAGGCCTCTCACTTTTATAAGTCTTGGTCCATTGCATATTGGGGTTGTCCAATTACAGCTTCAGGTTGTGAAGTTCCATCCTCCTTGTTGCTCTCTTCAGTTCTCCATTGTTTATACTTTTGGGCCTAGAAAATTGTAATGGTTTGTCCTTGATCTCAAGCTGGAATAGAATTGTTTTGTCTACCTACCTTGTGAAGAGAACTTACTGACACTTCATATGAAGCTCAGAGCTACACCCCTAGGCAGCACAGAATCTGAAAAACATGAAAGCTAAAACTTAAGGCATCACTTGTATAGCTGACAACTTCATCTTACATTAAACAATGCAATGAGCTCAACTCTGCAGTCTGTTCCCTTTACCTGGGTGGGGAGTACCATGTCATGCACAGTTGTGCAGTAACAACCCACAAAGGTGAGCAAAACCCAACAAACTCAACCCTCACATGTTCTCCTATTGCCTGGATGGCAATAAAGTTCTCCAGGTCATTCAGAAATTCTTGAACATGGGGCCCAGCAGAAAAGGACTTGGAGATGCTGGCTGAGAGCAACTGACCAAGAGCCAGCTGTGCCAAGGTAGCCAAGGATCCCAAGGGTATCCTGGCTTTTATCAGGGATAGTGTGGCCAGCAGGACCAGGGAAGGGACTGTCCCTCTGTTCCCAGTACTGGTGAGGCCTTACCTCAAATCCTGTGTCCAGCTCTGAGCCCCCCAGTCCAAGGAAGAATTTGAGATGCTGCAGTGAGTCCAGAGAAGGACAACTGAGCCTAGAAGGGCCTGGAGCACAGGTCTGATGAGGAGCCTGGAGGGGAAAGGAGGCTCAGGGGAGACCTTATCCCATTCTACAACTGCCTGAAAGGAGGTCATAGAAAGGTGGTTGGTTTCTTCTGCCAGCAACCAGAGACAGGATGAGAGGAAAAGGCCTCAAGCTGCAGGGGAGATTCAGGTTGGCCATCAGCAATAATTTCCTCATAGAAAGGAGCTGTCAAGCATTTGAACAGGCTGCCCAACGAAGGCGTGGAGTCAACATTGCTGGAGGTGTCCCAAGAAGTGACAGGACATGGCCCGTGGCATTCAGTGATGTGGTTTAGCTGGCATGGAGGTGCTTGGTGAAAGGCTGGACTAAAATGATCTTGGAGGCATTTTCCAACCCTAATGATTCCATGATTGTATAAGATAAGGTAATGGAGGCTTCACCACAACCTAAAGCTGAGTGCACAAGCAGCAAAGTCACTAATAAGCATTAACAAAGACTTGCCAGCTGTACAAATAAAAGGTTATAAAGATTCTAATTCATTGCTTTTGTTTGGAGTCTGTGAAGTCTGCCACACCACTGTACATTTATGGAAACAGTGAGAGTTTATAAATCCTAGAAGGAATAAATACCAAACCTAAAACTATTAAAAGCTATAGACTTGCCAGCAAAATGAACCAGTTCATCAGCCAGCCCATACTGGTGAAAGGATACAAGAAATAGGAGAAGTGATCAGTAGGATCAGTAATTGGTGTGCACATGAAGTAGTATTTACTCTTTCATTTCCATGCTTTGCCTCCCAGTCTCTCTGCTGGTTGGCATGGGCCAGTTCCAAATCATAACAGTTTAAAGTCTAGATTTTGTAGAAAATTTAGTTCACAGGAATGTCAAATGCTTGTTTTTTTACTTAATGAAATAGAAATATTTGCCTGTTTAAGTTTCTTAGGAGTTTATATTTGTGTTGAATTATCATTATTGACATCCTTGCATTGGCAGTGGAGGCAATAATTAAGTACATAACAATATTATCATTAATATTTTCAATTAGCTTCAGAAAATGAAAAGAAGCAAAGTCTGGGTCATCTCTCGTAACTTAATATGAATTATTAACTCATTTCCTGTATCACTGCAATGCATATTCCATACAAGCACAAGGAACAGTAGCTGAAATTTTGAAGTGCTGCTCTTTAGACATTTATTCATTGTGCATCTGTTTCAAGGTGGGTAGGGTTGTTTCTAATAGAATATCAAGAACATGCAACCATATTTTATGCGTATTTCTTAGTTTTATAAATTCTGCATTTATAGCACTGCCTTGAAGAAGTATTTTTATAGCCTTGAGGTACAAATTGATGTACCTGCATAGAACTGCTTCATGTTATTAATTCATTTCCAGATTTTAGTGGCTGGTTTCCATTGGATATCAAGCAGAATTCAATGGTGCAAAATCTCATGTCAGTGTTCCAAAATTACAGAATGATTACTTTCAGCCCTAATTCTCTAGAAACCAGAGAATTGTGTGTTACCTCTGCTGCACTTGATGTCATTTCAGTTTTCCTCCTTTGCTGAAGCCTAATATTTATTTGTTCTTTAGCTTTTTTTGGTGCACGGGTAAATAAAGCGGTGTAATATTCAGTAATTTGCATTTGTATACTTGGAAGTTGTTAAAGTGTAGTTGTGGTATAAAGTTGTTTGTGAGAGAGAAAATATCTATGCTGGGAAATAATTGATCTTAATTACTGAGACAAAATGTCACAACTTCAATAATTCATTTCCATTGCAAGTTTCAAAAACTCAAGAACTTTATGCTTTTTACTTTGTACCTGAATTCATGTGTGTCGTGGAATTGGAGTGAAACAGTTAATGAAACACACTGCATGCCATTGAAAGAGTTCTTGGGACTTTTTTTATTGCAGACTAGGTAACACATTTTCATAGGTTCCGGCTTTGCTGGAAATTCCCTTGAGAATGAAGCAGTTATTATCAGCTAGCACTTCCCTGTCTGGGTCTGTGACTCGGTACCAAACTGCTTGGGCTGTGCTAAGGCAGTGCTGGGGAAGAGGGCCATCTTTGGGTTGTTGACAGAAGTGAGCCAGGAGGAAAAATACATACAGTTAATACAGAGAGAAATAATCTTTTTTTCACAGCTCCACATTTCTCCCTCTACTGAGTGCACTGGTGCCTGCTCACACCCCTCTGTTCAACAGTCGTTTGACCCTGCCCATTCTAGAACTTCATCATCCCTTCTCCAGCACTGAGCCTTGAGACTCCTGTTCTTCAGTCTGGTCCAGTTAGGCTTGTGTTACATTTCTGATAATCATGATGAGAAAAAAAGTGTGTGAACATAAGATTGCCTGCAGGATGACCATTAAAGAATCACCTCCCTGGCCACTGAGGGACCGTGCATACTGTCTCATTCAGGGATAATGTAGTGGTGCTTAGGCTGGTCTTGGAAGATCAAAATTCCACTAGAATGCAGTCTGTCTGTGAAGATACTCCAGAGGAAGCAAACCTGTTCTGCTTTCAACATGAAAAACAGCATTATTCTGAACAGCTGAACTTTGCGATACTTTATTCATGGGTTATTAGAACTTCTGCTTCATCAGAAGCTGTTGTTAGTTTTTACTACCTTGCTTGTCTTCCAGCAGATTTTGAAGAGAACTAAAGTGTTTGGTTCACAAAGATTGCCTTGCATTCATTTTAGGGACTCCAAGTGTCTCCAGCTGTGTTTGTGTTTGCTTTAGCAAATCTTCTGAGGCTAATGAGCAATTAGAAATTCATTAAGCCTGGAGAAATACCGGGTCACATTAGATGCCACTATTCTAATCTAGCCAAGCAGCAATTCTGCTGAGTTAAGTGGGCAAATGGACACAGCTGGCTGCTTGTTTCTGCTGCTTTATGGGCTGTTAAATGGGAGGACTCAAGCCCTCGCTATGGATCCTTTTGGCAGAGAGTCCTTAAATCAGTGGTGTGTGCTGTACACACACACAGGAATTCCTGTGAACTGTGACTCAGGCTAAAAGCAGAGTGTCCAGCTTGCCTGCTGGAGGATAGCCATGGTTCTGGAAGCCTCTCTGCCTCCTTGAGACTCCATTAGAGAAGCCTTCCGTATGCAACAACAGATCCTTCTAATATTTTGGAATGAACATTTTTAAGAAACTTGTATTTTTTAAAAAAATATTCAACTGGAATAGAGTCTTCTCCCTGAAGATATTAAAAATAGAAAAGTTATTCACACTGCCCATGCAAACTCTTCTGGGTAACTTCTATGGCAGGTCTTGGCAGGATCCTGTGCCATATACTGTTTCTTTTTCTTTCTGAAAAAATGTAGACTTCAGTCTGTGCAGCTGTTTCAATTGTTTCTTTGTTTCCCACAGTGCCCATTTGAAGTACTTTATCTGTGAATAAACTAGTGAATGACTCCAGTGTGGAAAAGCACTGAGCAATAATGGACTCTAAGCAGAACCACTGAATTGTTAAACCTTGCAATCATTAAAAGGAAGGCAGGAAGTAAAAGCAGATTTGCTGTCATTCCTAATATGAACGTGACTTGATTTCAGTATCCATACAATGCTGATAAACAGGCTCACATTCAAGAGCTGCTTGCTGGGCAATCTGGTTGTAGTTTCTGTTTTAGAAATAGAATGTACTTCTACCAATTAATATAGAAGAGAATACAAGCAGTTTTGATTTTTTTTTTTTTTTTTTTTTTTTACAAATAGGACATCAAGAGAGTTCAAAGAATAATAATTTTTTCCATATTAGACTACCTGCAAAATTACTTGGGTCTATATGGACACTTGTAACAGAAGGGAGTTTAAAACCTCAAGTATGTTCTTCCCTATTTGTGACAATGATTTTGGAAGATCATGGACAGACATGCTTAATTCTGTAGAAAGCTTGAACAATTTTAGTTGCTTCTTACACAAGCAGATGCTTTTGTGTGTACCTCATGCCAAAGCAGAGTTTTTAGATCCATAATGCTTTTTCACACTATGTGGAATTACATTCATTTTGTGAATGGGTTATAAATTTCTTTAATCTTCAATGAGATACGTAATTTCATGTAAAAAGGTATCACTTTTGGGTAATCTGGATGACTAGGCATGAAATGCTATGGACAAACTGTAGTTCTGGCATAATCATGAAAATGTTAAGTGCTTGTAGGAATCATTCCTAGAGGGATGCTCTCACTTCTGTGTTATAATCTACTCAGGTTTCTATAGAAAAACCCACCAAGGCTCAAAGGATTGTTTCACCTGAGCTACCCCTGTATGCAGCTTCACACAGTAACTCCCTGGTTTTTTGCCAGTGTTGGGAGAGCTGCCTGTGTGAGATGGGAGGGACTTTCCTGCAGCTGGGCTGTTCTGTCACTGATGTGTCTCAATCTCAGCCTCTACAGCATGACCAGGTTGTGTCATTCAGCCTGGTGAGTGTAAACCCAGGGAACAAAAACCCAGGTCCTGGAGGCTAAAATGGGACTGAAACTAATCTGTGCTAATAAAAAGTGGGAGATAGGCTGAGATTGAAAATAATTTCAAAGACTGAATTCTTGACACACAAAGCCTTGTTGGCAGCTTTAGGTATTAACATATTTGCTACTCCAAATCAGGCATTGACTCTCTATGGGCATCAGATAATCTGACACTGGTCAGAAGCTCAGTCACTGACATGCTGCCACCTAAATATGCTTAGGAGCATCTAAGCAAAACGTGGTAGAATCTGACATTTGTTCATGTGGGTTAAATAGCAACAGGTTGTCATCATTCTGCTAGGCTGACAAAGTTCAACTTCCATACTGAACAGGCCACAGACCTGACAATCCCTGAAATCAGAGTTTCTAGGCACCGCATTTCTGCATTTGGTCACTTACCCACTGTCATTTTGTTTCCAAAATCTGAATAAAATATACCACTCAGTTTGCAAAATGGTTAGTGGAAACAACATGTGTACAAAACTGTCTCTGAATGTTGTGGTGAGTTCCATATCAAAGTTGTGTCTCCTCCCTGGTGTCCTGTCCCACTGTATTGCAGAAGCTGTTCTTTCGGCTGGGTCCAGCATTTGGAACATAAGTCAATGGGTCGGGTCGGATCAAGTATCTACAAAAAGAAACCACAGCTGTAACTAAAACAACATGCTGCACACCAGGGTAAGTGCATACAGCTGTAATGTTGAAAAGATCTGAGCAGGACTTAGACTTTGAAGGAGCTTGGTTTGGTTCCTGTGGTAGCATTGGTTAGATTTTTTCAATTTAAAATGCAGAGTAAGAGGAGGATGACAATTTAACAACATTATAAATATATGTATTATATATTTATATGTGTATTTAAAGTATATACAGATGTAGTATAATTAGATGTTTCTTTAAATAGAAATCTACTTTTTTTTTGCAGGTCTTGTGACTATTTGTTTATGTATGTGCTTTAACTTACACTATATCATTCAGCTCTAATCTTGTATCTGGAGAAGGGTTGATCAGGATGTAGGAAAGGGTGTTCTGATGATCATTCATTTCATCTAGAGGACAGGGGGAAAAAAGTACCAAGTAAATTACATTTACAAATGAATTGTGAGAAGCATTACTTCTGACATATTAATTTGATGAAAGTTCATAGACCTTCAGAAAAGTGTCTGGTGTCAGAGTGATTTCAAATAAGTTTAGCAATTTCTTTTCAACTGTACTCACATTGAAACTCCCTGACATTATCAGATTATCTTTTGAGTTATCAGCTGTAAAAACATCCTGTTTTCTAATGTTTTAAAAGTCTTCTGGGTTTTTTTCAGTCATAGAATTTGAATGTAACCCAATTTCAGTGTGATTTACCAATCTGTCCGGCAGCTTAGGTAAGTTTCTGGTGGGCAGGGACTCCTGTGCTTGGCTGTTATCAAGTTCAAATGATGACCAAGGTTAAATGCAGGTGTATGGCATCCTCATCCATATCCAGATTTGGTCAACATAAACCTTTTTTTCCCTTTTTTCTATTTATCTGGGAAGCACTTCCCTTTTATCACCTGTGCCAAGGGCTTGAAATGTGAAGGCTGTATAAATGGAAAGTGGTATATCTCTTGCATTTTTAACTGTTCTCCTAATGATGGGCTGAAATGAAGACTGACAATTTTTATTTTTAAGGTCTAACCTACACTTTTGTAGCTGCCATTGCAATTTAATTTATATCATTTTCTGTTGGCACACTCCTTGGGCTGCTGCAGTGAGACTGGTTTTAATCTTATCAGACTAAAGAGGAGAGGCAAAAGGAGAGGCAGAGCTTCAGTGTTAAATCTTCTGCAGCTCTTTAGGAAAACGTATAACTCAGATTCAGATAAATGTAATCAGGTAAAGCATTTAACTATGAAGATTTTACTGCTTTGTAGATGGTATCTAATAGTCCTAAATTTGAGTAATGAAATGAATATTTACTTTTGGCTTTTAACTAGGATTTGAAAAGAAAAGCAGGAATACAACAAAGTTTTTTTGTTATAAATGTTAATTAAATTTACAAAACATTTTTCTGTTTGATGAAATGTTATTGTGGCCTGTGAAATCCGTGGAAAATACTTTGGCCTGAATCTTTCTGCAGGCAGGTGTATAGAAACATGTTGTAAGAAAGCAGGCATAGAAATTATTCAGATGGGGTGTGGAATAAAGAGCCTGTATTTAAAGATATAGAAATTCCTGGTGTTTCTAGGAAATTAGAACCCATAGTCCTGGGGTTTCCACCCAACATGCTACAGGGCCAAGGCTGGAGAAAGGCAACCTAGGCAGCTGTGGTGCATGTGTTAAAAAGTATTACAGAGCTCTTGTCCATAGCTTAAAAAACCCCAAAACAATCCTACAAACTAAAAAGCAACCTGAATCAGCCTTGCTGGAGAATGATTTGATGGATAAAAATGGCATCCAAAGACCTAGTGAAACACGCTTTCTAAAAATGACTTTCATATGATAATTTGGCATTATTTTTGAAAATTGTGGGGAAAAGGAAACATCCCTCACATATAAACAACTCCCCACCCTGACATACGAGTGAACTTCACAACAGCCCTGTCTTCATCTTTATTTCAAGAGCTCTGTGGAAATATGGTGCAGCTGTTCAATGACTGGGGAATGTTTATAAATTCAGCATGCGCATATCATCTACTAAATATAAATGTGACTGACGTGCTACCTTTTGAGCCTTTTATCTCAGCACAGGAATGGGTGAGAATTAAAAAGACTCCAGGTTACTCTTCGTAAATTAAAAAAGCAAACAACGCAAACCTAAACCAACAAAACAAAAAGCACTATCGTAAACTTAGTATTTTGGTTTTGGCTCCATCATTTCTTACAAATAGTTCACCTTGCACCATGCAAATGTTGCTACTGAAGTACTGTATAGCGGTACCGTATCCTGCTGGAGAAAGGCCCAGGTGCTTCATTCTGTTCTTCACGAGTTCAGCAAGCTCCTGCCTTTCTGACCTCCTGTAGAGGTTCATTCTCTGCTGGTTGATCTTCTCAGCAGTTTTGGCAGAGTGCCTGGGTGCCCTCCTGCTCAGGCGCCGTGCCCACTGCATGCTCTTCCTCCGCAGCAGCGGGTGGTCGGACTGGTCGCTGGAGGTGGAGTTCCGGTGGTTGCCGCGGCAGCTGAACTGCTCCTTGGTGTCTTTGGTGTCCTCCCAATCCTCCACGCTGATGGAGATTTGAGACTTGAAAGGAAAAGGACAAGAGAGATGAAGGGCTGTATTAGATGGAAGCAGATTAGATGTCCTCTTTCCAACACTGCAGTTGGACATGGGGTTTGGCTGCAAAGGAGCTGAGGGGATTCAGCTCTTTGTACTTGGCAATTGTTCCTGAACTGGGCACCCTTTACTAGACTTTGACTTTTCATGCAAAAAGCTCATTTATAACATAAATACTTTCATCAAGTGCAAAAGCAGGTTAGCAAAAGTGTTACTTTCTGGCCAGTTGCACTGTGATTCTGAGAAGAGCAAATTTAGCCTTCTAATATTGCTCTTCCCGAATCTAGGAATCAGTTCTGAATGACTTTCTTTCCAGTTTGCATATTTTTAGAAATCCAAGTTGTGTAACTGCTTTTTACATATGTGTTGTGCCCTCATTAAGTAATGGTTCAACTTTGGCTGCATTGTTTTCAGTACTCTCTTATGACCACAGGCAGATCATGCCTGTTAACTGTGTCTCACATTCCCAGGTCTTCCTGACCTTCCAGCACACATGAAATTAGGATGCATAACCTTCAGTGTGATTCAGGGCACCTCTTGTGAAAGCAGTAATTGATTCCTACCATAAAGAATGGTGATAGTACCCATGTAGAGACAAATCCTCCCCAATTAAGAGCCAAAATCTGTTGCTCTATTACTGTGTTTTCCTTATGCCACCCAAATAAGACCAGTGGTACATCCATGTACAAATACTGAAATAACACAGGTGGATGGACTACAAGTGTATTTCTAACAAAGAAAAGTTCCTAGAGAACATAAGAGGAAACATTTCAAAAGATAACTTTCGTTAAGATAAATTGTTTCAATGTGTATTTTAGATTTAATGAGTAGTTTAATTTCTAGTTTCAAAACCACTTCCATAACATCCTGAGTTCCTCTTGTGCTATTTGTATGTCTTTTATTGATGCTGGAATAGCAAAGTCCTTGATGGTGTCAGTAAAAGCACATTACTAAGTTACTGGTCACAGATTTCAATGTGGTGAGTGTTTAAAATAAATACATGAAGTATAAAACAAAGATGATATAAATGAACAGTGTGAGTTTGTGTGAATCCCCTCAGACAGAATATGCTGGTAGCAATCAGTGAATAAAGGAACTTTAACAAAGGAGCTACTCAATGTCCTTTGTCCACTAACATGAAATCTGAAAGCAAGATTCTGTTGACCTAATCAGTGCTGAATACAACCTATCTGTAAGAGGCTCACCACAGATTTCTGGGGTCCATAAAATAGTATTGATATGAGTAAGCTGAATACAGTGTGAAAGATACTTGTATTGTTAACTTTTGAACAAACTAGCTTTTATCTGTGTAAAAGAAAAAAGCAACAAGCAAACCCAATCAAACAGCAAAACAACCAAACCTCATAATTAAAAAGAACACTATAGATATTTATCTTGTAGCACTTCAAGTAAAATCACATTTTTAATATTCTAGACTAGGATCTTGCAATAAGCCTCAAATAAAGACCAGCTAATTTATTGAGGCTCTTCAGCTTAGTCTGCAATAGAAAAGGGATTTCTGGTTGGATTTTTTTTTTAAAACAACCTGATTTTTTGAAGTTGTTTTACTGACTCCACTGAGGTTAGGGAAGAAGAGAGAACCTGGATCCCTTTGAACAGGAATGTAATTTGATTTTGGTGTTTGTCAGACTGTCATTTTGGGTTTGTGGGCATTTTACAGCAAGGACTAAGGTAGACAGAGCATATTCCATAGGAAAAGGTGCTACTTATGGGTAGGAAGGACTATTTGGTATGAACAAATTGATATTGGTATGAACTGAGTGTAGAGGATGGTCTTGTTTTGCCTTTCTTCCTGCCTGCATTGGCAGCTTTCCTTGTCAAGCTCTTGGCAAAACAAATAACCAGACTTGCTGGCAGCAATAAAGGCAGAGACCAATCATCACTACAGGAGGGTAAGTCACTTCTTGAGTCAGAGATTAAATGGGTGAGGCCGAATGAAAGAATAAATATTTTGTTTTTGTGAAATCTGTAAATCCTTAGCTTGAAGTTTTGGAACACTGGCATAGGTGAACTGAAAGCACAAAGGAAGGTGATAAAGCTAAATATTTACTTCAGCAACAATGAAGGTTTTATCCTGCCTGTTGAGAACGTGCAGAATGGCTCTTTGCTGTATGCAAGAAGAAGTTCAACTTAAAGCAAAATCAAAGCCCAAACTCTCTTTCAAAAGCAACACAAAAGTGTGTCTGCCAGTGACAGCTGTTAAACACACAGAAGATAAAACTCCAATGCAAAGAACTTCTGTGTGTCCCCCTCTGATTTAACCAGTCTTGAACTTCATTTAAAAATACTTTCATAATTATCATTACTTTGAGGTTTAATTGTTTTCACTGAATTTCATTTTCTTGTTCCATAGCGGGTAAATCTGTTGCATGAGAAGCATAACTGATGCCACGGTGTTACTCCTGTGCCACACAGAGAAGAAACACTTGCCTTTAAACCCTTGGGTTTGTTTGCTTTTTGTTTTTAAGACCAGGTTCCTGTCTCACTGTGTGTCCTGAAGGGTGTGATTGTTCACTTGTGCTGCCAGACAGCTGTGACCTACTCAGGCATGATGCTCTAATAGAATGTTTCATGCCCTAAAATCTAAACATTAGGCTGGTCAACACATGGCAGGAATGGGAATGTAATCACAGGTACACCAGTGTACATATTTGAGGTGATGGTGATTGAGATATCTGTGCTGATAACATCAAACACTGATTCACTTCAGATTTTTGCTCCCTTGCCTTGCTGCTCCCTGGGAGCTGTGTGTAAGATGTGAAATATTTGAAGGTGTAGTTTCATCTGTTCCAGCCTGAAGCAGTCACTTATTTTTTACCTTACTGCAAGTGCTATACTAACTAAATTTTACTGCTCTGACTACCAAGAGTGCTACTTGCATCCAGGGCTCTAGAAATACTTTTCTGTTCCAAAAGCTGTCTAAACCATTGCTAAGTACAGCCACATTTTCCTTCTGTGACAAACTTGGGGATTTTGCTCCACTAGCGTTTAATGTGTGTAAGCTTAAGGCTTTCACCAGATGATCTTTTCACTGTAAAGATGATTTGTTGCCTTCAGAATTCAGCAGGAGCAGGCCCAACAGGAACCAGAATTCCACAGGACACCTTTGAAATTCCCAGTCTGTCAGCTTTCAGATTTTAGCAAGCTGTTTGTGTCCAGAACAATGGACCAACTTTAAGATCCATTTACTCAAGGATGATCCATTGCACAGTTCCATTTTCTCTGAGGATTTCACTCCCAGAATTGAACCAATTGTACAGTTTCTGGCTGGGACTGAGTTACATTTCTTCATAGCAGCCTGTATGGGACTGTGTTTTGGATGTGTGATGATAATGTGTTAATAATGGGGATGTTTTCCTTACTGCTGAGTGCTGTTTATACTGAGCCAAGGCTTTTACTGCTTCTCACCCACCCCAGCAGCAAGTGGGCTGGGGAGAGCACAAGAACTTGGGAGGGGACACAGCCAGGACACCTGATCCCAAATGACCAAAGTGATATCCCTTATCCAGGCTGCTTTGCTCTGCAGGAACAGCTGCAAGAAGATGAAGGAATGAAATGCTTGATGGAGCTCTGCTTTCCTGGAGATGGCCAAACACCCCTGCCCATCACAAGTGTGAGCAAACTCTTTGCTTTGTTTTGCTTTTACTTAAGTTATCAAACTGCCTTTACCTGAGCCCAAGAGATTACTCTCTTTCAACCTCCCAGTTTTCTCCCCATCCCACCTTGGGGGGAGCAAGCAAGCCAGCAGCTGTGTGAGGCTTGCCTCAACCAGGACACCCAGAAACAGGCAGACAATAAGCAAATACTTACTTGTGAAGACATTTCTCGTGACTGACAAAGGAAGGGGGAAAAGAAGACAAAGGAAGGGGAAAAAGAAAACAAAAGACAATTTAAACAGAAGTGAATCTAAAGAAACAAATATGGACTGTTAAACAGCAGCCACAGAAAAGCAGCCATACAGGTAATGAAAAAAGATTTCGTATATCTTTTTTATATTTTTTTAGTGTAGTGGAAATGGTTTGGGTCATAGGTGTGATAGTCATTGAGGTGCTGGCTAGATTCACTTCTTATTTAGTTACTGGGTCACTAAAAACTTGCTTTATTTTTAAAGAAGTTATGAGTGTCTTTCAGTGAAACGAGAGCTTCTCATTTGCACAGTGAAAAAGGGAGTGCCAAAGGATAAACAGTACATATTAAATATTAATATTGGCATATTTTGTCCTCGTGACTCGAGTTACCCATGTTATTATGAGACAGCAGCCTCATAATAATAATGTGCAGTACAAATTTAGTTTCTTATTTCTGTTTAAACTCAAATTGATAATCATGTTGAAGGTTCTCTGAGTTATAAACCTTCAACTTTATGGCTATAAGTTCATAGTTCCTGAGTAAAAAGAGTGAAGTACTTTTCTCTTTTTTCCATTTTAAAGATCTTACCCAATGATTATCTTCTGGCTTAATGTATTGAAAAGCTAAAATGATAACCCATGCTAATATTTCATTAGTGAAATAAGTAAAAAAATCCTTTAACTTCAAAATAAACACTTTGCAGAAAGATTAGGGCTTTCAGCATCTCTGTCTTTGTAGGTCTCTATCCATAAAGGCCACAGATGCAGAGCAAGATGTTGCTCTTTTGTATTCTGGGGAATAGGTAGGTGAGGGGAGATTTCCCTGCCCCTCTCTAGAGGGAGGAACGGTTGTACAAATTCTGATTCACTAAACAAGAAACTGCACAAGTATTTGTGTGGAAATTCAACTAAAGGTCTGCATTCAAAGACTTCAGCTTAGAAAGACCAACAACTGCATTTTCTTCACTTAATAAAGGAGGAGTGCCATTCTTCCACAATTTTCCAACGCCTGACAATTTGAAAATTTAACTAGGAGGTTTCTCCAACCTCCCTTCCTCAATCTTCTACCTGATTTAACTCAAATGCTTTGTGAGATTACTTGTGAAAGTTGATAGGAAGTAATAGCAGAACTACTAATTCTCTTTTTGTGGACCTGAAGTTAAAAAGCCAGCCCTGAATGTGAGAATAAAGCATTGCCATGAATTTTATCTTATCCTTATTTAATGAATTCTTAAAATCTAGTATGTCCTCTGTTTTGTGGAAGGCTGTTACAGACCTTTTTTCATATTAGCAGTAAGGCTGACTACATTCTTCTCCAAGGAATGATTTTGGTGGATTATGTTAAGGCTGCTATAGTTCAAAAGAGATCATTGCAGTGACAGAGTCCACTGGCTAAGCTGTAAAAGCCACCTGCAGAGAAAGTGATGGTCCACAAAGAGATATTTCCATGAGCTGGGTGGGATCTTGCACAGCTTTTGTATTGTCCTTTTATAAAACTAACTTCACCTGAATGTACTTCCTCAGGAGCAAATCTTGCCATTAAGCATTATATGCCTGAATGTTTTCTAATATTTTTCTGAAATATGGAAAAGAAAATATAAATTACCTGTCTTGGAAATTAGTTTAAACTATGTCTGAGTATTTCAAAAGAAAGGAGAGACCTGTTGCTCACTGTTGCCTTTGAAAGCCATGGCTTAATGAGATGGCAGTACTAATGGTCATGTAAACACATGGATAATACATGACAGAAATCAAAGCTGCCCAAACAAAAAAAGTATGTTAAATAGTCAGGAAAAAGTATTTTTGCTATTTTTCATAAACAGAGAGATGGAGAAATGTACACATTTATGTGGCAAACACAGAAATACATATATAAAATATTATCACTGTTCAGCAGCTAAATTTAGAGAGATCCCACAGTACTTTGAATAACACTAACTAGAAATGAGCAACAAGAGAGTGAATTAGAAGGTCACATGAGCATGAAATGCCACCTGTTTTGAGACATGGACACATTGTTGGCGCAAGGGCCAGAGGGCCTGGTGCAGGGTTTGTACCAAGGAATGGTTTGTACCATTCCTTGGTACAAACCCTGCTGTTAGTGAGCACAGTGAGGTCAGAGCAGAGCTCACTCCTGAGCCGTGCCCAGCTGCCCCTTGGCTCCCCTCCATCCATCCCTCCATCCCTCCATCCATCCATCCATCCATCCATCCATCCATCCATCCATCCATAGGAGGGGAGCACAGGAACCAAAGGCCGGGTGTGCCCTGGCCCTGGGCCCTGCTGGAGCCTGGGCTCAGCCTGGGTTGTGTGACCAGCCAGGTGCCAGCAGAGGCTCGTGCACTCTGCAGTCAGACACATATGGAAAGCAGGGTGAGTGACCCACCTCAGATGTTGTGAGCTTCTGGGATTCTGTCCTGTAGACTCCAATTGGAATGTCTCCTGTAGAGGAACAAAGCTTCTGGTACAGTCTGGCATATGTCCTAATCCATAGATCCTCTTCTGTGATTTTCATCTGAGCAAATAATAACAGGAGGGAGGAATTTTAACTCTTGAGGGTTTATCATTTGTTCACTCTGCAGCTCATGAAAAAAAAAACCAAAACTAAGCACTAGCTGGTAATTATCCCATTGTAGTGTTGCACCTTTGCTCTACAACAAATCTGTAACTTCTATTGAGTTTGTCAGACAGGTTCTTTTGCTTTCTCCCTGTTTAGAAGACATTGTAGTGGAAGCAGTTTCACATTATGAACTTCTGGTCTTGGTTTAAGATTACTTAAAATGTACATGGCAGCCTTCACCCAGTGTCTATTTTTGACTAAAATATAAATGAATAAACTGAATATTGTCAGGAGTAAGAAACTGGTGTGGATAGACTGAAGTGCATGAGCATTTTGAATTTTGTCCACCAGACTGCAGGCTGAAGGGAGGGGAGGAAGTAATACACTAAGCATAAGTGGCATAGAAGTCTTACATGAAGCTCACTTACTTCATTACAAGCTTTGTTTTGAGATGTATGAGTTTGTTTTTAGAGATTCAATTGTACTTTCAAGTGTTCTTACATTCACTGTAATGAAGCTTAATGATTGGCCAAAAAATATGTTATTTTTATTTAAACAATTTTTAAACCATCATTGACACCTTCCTGCCATTCTTTATAGATGGCCACAAAGCAACTTGTAAATAACTCAACTTGTAATGATCTGTTTGCTACGCAGAGTATAGTGGGTGTGGGAGGAAACAGAAAAGTGGGGTTTATTTTAGTAAAAATTACTTCTGTTGTGTTTTTATTTGTGTATACACACAGTTAAATTGCATTGGGGAATATTGACAGATATAATAACTGGATGACTTTTGAATTCCAACTTCTAGTCATTTAATACAGCTGATCTTTATTTAAAAATTACTCATGGCCTTTATTGCCCATAGGAATGGAGATTGGGAGATAGTCCTGGTCAGGCTGCACAATACAGGTTCCTGGCTTTTATATACTTAATTTTTACACTGGTTGCTAAACTGCCATTGCTGTTTCATATAAAATCCACTATTTCTGTGTTTTCCTGACTTTCTAATTTTCTGCTGAATAAAATGCATTGTGTTTTCTCAGGGAGATGTTTTTTGCTATGGAACTAAAAATGAGTATGTTTTCTGTTTAATTTCCTTGTCTTCTCCCTGATGAAAAAGGAAACAGATGGCCTTCCTTGAACTTTCACAAAAGGAAATGCCATACAAAGAAAGTTGAAGTATTTTGCAGACAGTACAGAATCTTCTCTGGTACTCTGTACTGATTGGGTTTTTTAAATAACTTACAGAACAAAGAAACCCAGATCCTGGTGTGGTGTCAAGTCCCAGCAGAAGTCTTGTGATAGAAATCATATAATCTTTCACAAATGACTGCAAGATATTTTAACAGGAGAGACAGAAAAGAAAGAAAAAAAGCTTTAATGAACAGAGGAGTAGGCAACCATTAGCATTTTGTATGACTTTCAAAGGAATTATACATCTGTGTTTACAGTCCATCTCTTTAAGTATCTTAATCACTGTAGGAATACCAATCCCTTTCTTTTGGCTGAATTTACTTATATAAAGGCAGTTTTCCTAAATTTCCTAAAGGAATGCACAAGATTCAGCAGACTAAGGCATAACAAGGCACAGGAAAAGCAAAGAAGGATGTGTCAGTGGAGTGGGGTGTTAGCCCTACGAGGTGTGAAATTATAATGAACTCTTCTGTGCAAAAGAAACGCTGGCAGATGTTAGATGGCTCTGCAGTCCTCAGTGGGTCCCTCTGAGGTGACACTGCTATTATTTTAGTCAAATGAATAATCTGAAGGATTTTTAAGTGTTGATATGCCTTGTTGCTGTGCTAAAAAGTGTTGCTATTGGTCAAAAGGTAGAAATTAAGTTTAGTGCAGAAGTATAGACTAAGACCAGGAATGGACCTTACAGCAGCTAAAATCACAAATATTTCTCCTCCTGGGTTGGGCTGCTGGAATACGAGGGGTCCATGGGGGTGCTCTTCTAGCTGTGGCTGAGCTGTTCTTTGCCACCTGTACTCACTCAGGTGTAGCAGGGCAGCATTGCAGCCCTTGGAACGCAGCACAAACCGTAGCTCTGCTGGCTTCATGCAAATACACAGCTAACCAGGACGTTTTCACAAAGAAATACCCCACAAAGGTAATACAGAAATCCTTTAGAGCTATAGAATCTGGATTTGTTCAAACTCAGAAAATAGATGGATTTCATTCGATACATGGTGATTCAACTATTTTAATTTTTGCCCTGGTAGTCTCCCAGTTGTGATGGGCTAAATGCCAAGGAGCATCTCAAGTAAACTTTGCAAATTAAACGTATTTGTTATCTTGGCAGCCTTGTTATCTTGGCTAATTTCTGCCATGGAATTTTCATTAGTTTAACAAGTTTATTCACCAGAATTTGCAAGACCAAGTTTTCCTTTTTCACTCACTGTCCTAAATATAATTCCAAGGCTTTTCTTTCAGCCTGTAATGGGAAGCACCAGCTGAACCCTGATGTTCCCCATGTCATTTGCTCTGTTTCTTGCAGAAGAAAAAGACAGAAAATGGGACTATGAAAAAGAACAAAGAGCTGCTGTTTTAGAACTTCTAACTTGGAGTACGAAAGATAATTCTAGAGAAATGACAGTTCACCTATGAGCAGTAGCAGTTCAAAGGAAGGACAGGTGGAATTAAAGTGACAATGAGCATGTGAGGCTTTTTGTTTTAAACACTTTCTGGTGAATGGTGTTACTCTGTCAAGTCATTGCATGATTATTCATGTCTAGGAGCAAATATAAAATATTGAAGTCACTTATGTGCTGGCAGGAGCTGTTGATGATTAACAGATCAGTTTCTATATATATATGTATTTGGTATATTTACTGTATTATTTACTATATTTTACTATATTTCTTTTTTAATATTGTGGTATGTGATACTGATATTCTGGGCATGATTATGAATATATTTTATATGCAAATACATTTATTTCTACAACCTTAAAATATATATGCCCATATACATGACTGTTTTTTATATTAATGGCTTCTTGAGAAAAATTTAGCTCCAGGAATTTTCCTATTTATGTTGGATTTGCCTTCAGGAAATAGATTTGAAAGTAGAATTGCGATGAAAGAACACCTTTCATGCACCAAATTACCAAGTAAATTCATTTCCCTGCAAGGATGTTTTCCACCTGAGAACTAAAGCTCCACAGGCTATCCCCAGGTGGAGGCAAGGCAGGAGGCTGCTCAGGTGAGCAGATGATGTGGGCCATGGTGGTGTTCCTGCTGGTGCTGTGTGCCTTGATCCTGTCAGGGTGGTGCTGGGGGCTGCTCCTTGGGCATCCTGGTGTGTCACAGTGTGCAGAAGTGTGAGCACTGCCGAAGAGTGAGCAATATTGGCCTATTTTCCACCCTGAAACTAGCAACTACTGACTCCATTTGCCATGACTGTATTTTCTGATATTTTTTCTTCAACTCTCTGAAGCTGTGCTCTTCCCTGATTCTCACTGTCATCACTCCTTCCTGGATTCTGAGCCACAAGGTTGAATTGCTGACTTTTCTTCCCCCACTGTCTCTTTGTAACCACTGAATGCATTCCTTGCAAGGGCAAGCATGGCTTACTTCACAGTGTAATGACAGGGCCTCTGCAGCTCTAGTCAACATGAGTAAGAGGAGAGGACACTATGAAGTAATTGAGGCCTTTATCAGCAAATGCAGGAGACTAATAAATTACATATTAAAGTACTTCTGTTCCTTTCTGTTAGGGACATGATGTGTGGGAATGGGCACTGCGTTTTTTATTGCAGAGTACAAGCCTTATTATTCTATATAATCTGTAATTTATGTAGGCCTTATCAAAGCTATTTGACTGGGGAGAGATACATTAACAGTATCAAATTATCTAACATTAGATTTTGTACAGTCACAGGGTGATTTTGGGATTGAAAACTGAACTAACACATCAAGCACGCTCCATTGTCTTTTGCCATTGATTGCTCCCAGTATAGACACACTTTAATGGATCCTATGGCAGAAAATAGGGTCATCTAGCAATTAAGCACAATAAAATGGATGGCAATACTTGTGTTAAGTCACATTACTGTTCATAGTACCTGATAAAGCAGTGTGTCCAACATGCTGATGCTGAAAACCCTGCCAGCAGCAAAGGGCAGTCGAAACATAAATGCCAGATTAGATCCCTTCTCCCGCTCTTTCTGTTAGGAATTAAAACACAGAAAACATTTTTAATGCTGGTTTTGGAAGGACTGTAACAAAAACATGGAATAGATATTATCTTGAAAGAAGTCAAAAGTGTAAAAGCCTTTTATTCTCAACATAGTTTCTTCCAAGAAGTATGCAGCATCTTTGTTCAACAGGTGCAGTTTTTCAGGTGGAAAGACATTGATCAGTGTATATGTTTCAGTCAACACATCTCAAACTGCATGGGCATATTCCACCCATTCAGTTTTAAAAAGATGGAGGATATCAGCTGTGCTTAGCTCTTGTTAACCTGCCCCAATTCCTTGGTGCTGACAGTGGACTGCCATGGTGGTCCAGGAAGTCTCTCAGGAACAGGAAACAGGGACAGGATCTGGTACAAAAGGGCAGGAATGGCACAGGGGTCAATCAGTGCCCTGGTGCTGCTTGCCACACCTTTTCTGGTACTGAGCAGGATGCCATTTGCCTTGTGGCCACCTGGACACAGCCTGGCTCAGGCTGACAACCAGCACCCCCATCCTTGAGCAGCTTCCCAGCCACTCTGCCCCATCCTGCAGTGCTGCAGAGGTGATAGTGACCCAAGGGCAGGACCTGGCCCTTGGCCTTGCTGAGCCTCATACAACTGGACCAGACTGGTTTCGTTTCCTTCCATCTCTTCTACAGCCTTGCTTTTCCTTTATTCTTGCTTCAAAGAGATCTGTGAGAAATATAATCCTATTTTCTAGGAAAGAACAAATAAATTTTCTGGTGTTGATATGGAACAACTTCCTAAAAACCTGTCAGTTCAACAGTCAAATTTGTGTGCTAATTGCTAGTACAATTTTAGAATTTATGTAAATTGTTAGAAATCTATGTGAAATAAGACAGGAATAATAAGAGGTACCAATCTCTTTTTGTAACTCATATGTCATTATTGGTTTTTATTACTTAATGTTAATTCAGATCTGCTTAATACCTGAATTATATTAAAGAAAAGAAAATGGAGATAGGAAACAGGAGGCCCCATCCTGAAGTTAAAAAAGCAGCCTGGCTGTGTGCAAATGACTGCAAATATACTGGGTCATCCCAGATAGATTTCTGCTCCCCTAATATCTGTGTGCTTATCCCTGTGAAAGATAAAAAATCACAGGATTGGGTTTGATCAAAAGATATAGGAACCTGTTATTATTTCAAAATGATCACTTACAGCTTTAGAATTTTTATCAGTAACACCTGCAATGTTTATTTGGAAAAAAACCATAGCAAACTGAAGTCTGAATCCTATCCAAAACACTACAAACCCTTTCTTTCAAGAAAGAGGGAGTGGTTACCTCAGTTTTCTTCTTATGCAAGACAAATGGAGAACACAGATGTCAAGTTTAGAGTGTGGGTGTTTTGTTTTTCCTCTCCTCTGTTGTATAAAGGCCACTGCTTTCTCCTATGTCAGTGCTGAGTTTACTGTCAGATTTATTTATCTCTAAAATAAGAAAAGTTGCAGCTGCAACAGCAGATGGACATCAGATTTGTGTATCTGTCTTCTGCAGCCCATTAGGTTGAAAAGCCAATTTTGCAAATGTGTTTCACTGCTACCTCAAGGCAACTTGCCTGATATTCTCAGTCTTTCTGAAAATGAGGCGCTTAACGCAGAAATAACAAGCAACTGTATGTCTGACTGCTTTAGGTAATTTTTACTGGAGTTTTTAATTGCCTTTCATCTTGCATGAGGGAGTTCTGAAAGATCAAATGAACTACAGCACCACCTGTGAAGTTCTCCCTGCAAATGTTAAGATGAAGTGACTGGGAAATATTAACAGCAGGCAACTGCAAGAGCAATGAAGAAAATATTCTTTCTTTAAGATAATTTATCTACCTCCGTTTCAGCAGAGCATAGTTTGGATAGGAAGTTTATTAAATGTTCAGCTTCCAACCTATCCTCACAACTTTTGCACAATAAATTAATAAGATAGTCAAGAAGTTAAAATATTTTTAAGTATTTCCAGAATATTTGCTTGAAAAATTAAGGAGCCTATGTAAAGAAAGAAAGAACTGAGATAAAAATCCTGGTTTCACTGCATTGAAGTAGACAGCCCACAGAGAATTCCAGAATCGGATTAAGGGAATATGTTAACAAATAATTTCAAATTGTACATTGTCAGTCATAGTACACCAAGACATTAAGCTTGGTTGAACACAGTGTTGAAGGTCCCAGCCAGCTGCTGGCCCTTGTTGCACTGAGAGAACTGGCAATGCAGATTCCAGCCAGTTGTAGCTTATCCTTCATGGATTTACCACGGAGGGAGGAACTGCAGGAGCCACAGGGGCAAACCTTAAAGGGTAGTGGAAGTGGCATTATCCCAGCAAAGCTGAGCCTCCTTCCTCAAACAGCTCCTCTCTAACTTTTGGCTGGTTTCCTCCAGAGCTCTCCATGGTCTCTGTCAGAACACCACCTAAACACAAGATCAAGCCTTCATGCTGCTACAGGTAAAGATAACAAGTCACTAAAGGCCACCCAGATATTTACATCTTGTGTAAATACGTACATATAAGTGTGATATTCGACCAAGTAAAATATTTACTTCCCATCCTTCTCCTGTCATCCACACAGGCTGAATTTTGGCAGCATTCAAGAAACTGGACTGGGAAGGTAAGTTTCTTTGGAAAGGCTCTTTTCATGAAGCATATATTAAAATTACCAACATAAATATTGTACAGTAAATAGTGAACTCCGAATTCCCCAAAATTTAGGAAATTTATGGCACACCTAGGAAATGGAAATTATATGTTAAATCTGTATGATGGTAATGATTTTGGCATGAATTCAAATTCACCAAGATATGTAAGATATCTGAGGTGCACCAGCTGGGAGGGTACATAGGGAAATCCAGCAATCATAGTGATTGATAGACTGATAGGGAAAAAGAAAAGAATGCAGTGAAGGATTTCTGCCCTTGAAGACTGTCACAGTGATATTATTTGTCTCTCACAAACTCAGAATATGGTGGGTAGGTCAGATCACTAGGGAAGATTTGTGAGAAAGAGGATTGTGCTTGAGCTTAGAGAGTTAAACAGATGCACAATATTACTTCCTGTGCTCCACCTGTTTTAAGTAACAGTATTTTGAACAAGCAGATTGGATTTATCTCCATACAGCCACAGCTCCACAATTTGAAAATGTCAAATATACATATAGACTATGAAGGTTTTTGCTAACATTTAAGTAGTGTCACTGTCCCTCTCATTCTGACAGAGAACAATTACTGTTGTCAAACTGTCCCATTAATGCCAATATCTCCCACAGATACACAAAAAAGTGTACAGAAGACACAATTATAGTGCCTTTAAAATGAAGAGGAATTAAAAAATACATTATAACAAAAGCTGTATGTTTTAAGCATTTAGTCAGTTAAAAGATGTTCCATGTTAATTGCCTGTGTCAGCCTCTTGAACAACAACATTAGCTCTAAATATTTAATTATCCAAAAATATTTCATTTTCCTTGAGCAAATTCCACCAGAGAGTTGGCTGATTAATATTACGTTGTAAAATGATTAAATCAAATCAAACTTTATTATTAAATGAGGGTAGAAATTTGAAAAAAATTATCTTTTGCAGTTGTTCTACAACCATAAATCACTGTTTCCATTTATTTTGAAATCTTTGTTACAAAATCAGAAAAAGTAATAAAAACATAACATTTAAACTGAGGGTAGGGGTGGGCAAATCTCCTTACCTTTTCCAATTTGGACAGAGCAAGAGAATAGCAGTCTTTGGCTCTGAACTGCATGAATCTCATGTTGGCTGGGTGAGTTAGCTCTGTGATAATGCTCAGGCTGGAGAACAACCTGCATTTTAAAAGAATGTCATGGTTATACTTCTAATTATAACAGTTCACAAATGTAAGGCTCTACACAAAGCTTCAGCTTGTGCTTGTGCCCGTGTTTTAAATGAAATCCCTGAACCTGTGGTGGGTCTGGGCCCAGGGAATTGCTGGTCCAACAACACATTCTCTGTAGAATTCACCAAGAAGCACACACTGAGCTCACAAAATACTTAAATGCCAGAAAAAAACCAACTTAATTTCATTATTTTTTATTTCATAGTTGGTACAATATCACAAATCTGAAGGAAACAACAAAAAATGCAAAACTTTAAAGCTTGTACTTAGTACCTGGTTGCTAAGGTACAGTCAAGTAAAGTACGACTGATTTATGTACCCTTTCCAGTTGATTCTTCTTTCTTGAGGTCTGTTTGTATGCTGTGACTACAGTCTGAGCAATATAGATGAAAATTGACACTTGTGGGAGTTGCTGAGAAAATGTATGTTTATGTATACTTATGTTCTCACTTTGAAATATTTACATATACAAAGTATTTATAACTTAACACCAATTCAGCCTTCCAGTAACTAAAAGCAGTGAAGAGAGCTCTACTGTGAACTGGCTCAATTACACAGATCTTCAAGCAGCAGACTCAAGAGCTCCTTCCTAGCACTCAGGGCTCCAAGAAACAGCTAGAAAATCATAGTTTACACAATTTATATACTAAACAAGTTGGAATAGAACAATATATTATTATTTAACTCTTTCCTCTACAGATTGTGTCAGAAAATGAGATGTGCATTTGTAGCCTCTTTTGCTGACCCTGGGGCTACTTATCTACACTTAGCAACAGGTAATTGTAATATTAATTACATCATTGATGTGGCTTCTGTCTCACTTTCCATGGAAGCAGCATTTGGTGAGGTAGTGTCAAATGGAATTCAGTGCACCCTTTTGCCAGTCTTGTCCTTTTCCCTCACTTTTGCAGGGAGAAACATCCCTGAAATGGCAATTCAAGCAAAGCCTGAATGTGGGGAAATGTATATCCAGACTGTCTGCCAATATGTGTTAATTCCACATTGTATTTGAAAACTAACACTACAGAATTCAGAGTTAGGAGTAATAGGAAATTAAAAGCTGATCTCATGATAAAATATACACAGCAGGAAAAAATGCAGGCAGCTATGTTTCTCTTAAAGATGGTTTCATGTCTTTCACTGAGATATGAAAGCTGATTTATATTAGGAAATCAGTTTAAAAACGGGTATTGGTAAAATATTTTACTTACGAGTGCCTTTTAGCTGAATTAGGGGAAGTTGCTCTCTAGGAAGTCAGGGACAGATTGCATTCAGCCTTTTAGCTGAATTAGGGGAAATTGCTCTCTAGGAAGTCAGGGACAGATTGCATCTTGTTCTGGGTGTAAGGCACACTGCCTGTCAGCTTTTAGTACTGGAAAGGTTCCTTCTGGGCAAAGATACATCTCCTCTAGCCCATTCTAGTAACAAAGGACTGATGGGGAAGAGAAAGCCCCCCCAGCCTGATGGGAGGCATGGCTTGCTACTGAACTCGTATTTGGAAATCAGACAAGCAAGGGAGACATGTAGTTCTTTCCCAAACCACAGTGACAAACCCAGAAAATCATGCAATGCCATCATAGCACCTCATTTGGTTTATCTCTAAATTGGTGATGACAGCTAGATACCAGCAAAACACTGACCTGTTATGTGTACTGCTGGCAATTGGCTTCCTGCAGGATTTGAAACAGCCTTGAAGAGGTTAACCATAAAACTTTATAGTGTACGGACCTACTGCCTGGAGAAATGTGCTGTTTTTCTGAGGAGGGCTCACACCTGTCTACAGGTGCTTGGCTTCCTGTTTAATTTTTAAAAGTGAAAAGCATCTTAAGGTGTAGTCCAAGACTATTAATTTCTCCTTTTATTTTTGAGCTGTGGTAACTCGTTCTTGGTCAGTGTGCCCATTTGAGTCACACTTCTGTACTCCAATGGCAGGTAAGTCAGTGCTGTGTCACCGTTTTAATTGGGATGGCACAGCTTGTAGCCCTAAAGGTGCTAATAATCCTGTCCTTATAAACAGTGCCTCTGCCTTCCAGGGTGGGGAGCGCACTCTCCTGGCAAAGCAGGATTGCTAATTTATGTCAATCGGGGAATAACTACACAACTGGTGTGTGAGAACTGCCAGCCCGGGCTGAAGAGCCTGGGTTACTGCAGCTCTGACATGGCTTTTCAGGCCTGAGTAACTCACACCAGGGGTGTTTAGATCAGCCTAAACCCTCTGAATGGTCTCACCTGCTGAGACCAAAGTGGAACCTTTGTCAATGCTGTGATATCATTGAAAACAGCATATTAAATCCAGGGGTTAAAATCCCCCTTTAACACTGCAGTTTGTGTCAAGGGCTCCTGCTCTCTACCATGTCCAGTCTTTTCTTCATTACTTTCTTATATTATTAGCTAGTCAATATATTTTTAAAGGTCATTTAGAAAAGTATTTACCTTCATGCAATGAAAATAATTTATTCTGTAGAACAGGTAAATACCACTTTTTTATGCCTCTTCCCAAAGCTTACTTATTTCTACAACTTCCACATAATATAAAAATGCAGTGAAATTATTATACGTCTCCTAGGGAAAAATACCAAACTAATTTATGCAATACACTATTTGTGAAAGTTTGCAAAATTTTATGAAAAAGTGTTGCTAAGTCTTAAACCAAGGTATTTTAACTTACTTTGATTGTAACTATGCAGTGTTAAAGTAATACTGACCCAGACATAGAGTTTATACACGAGTTAAAGCTGCCATCTAGTTGCAAACAATGTGCAAGACAACTGAAGGAGTGTACAGAAGCATCTAATGGCATACGTATCATATGTAATTTCTCTTTTACAAAGTAGAACACAGCTAGGGGAAAACCAATTTTACATGTTTACTTTTGATACAACTCCTTTTTCCATTTGGGAGTAAACTTTATTTCAGAAAAATTGATATATATGAAAAACCTTGGTGAGTGCCCTAGCACTGTATGGTTAGGAGCAGATCTGAGTGATGCCCGGATAAAGTTCAATTATAGCTTCAACCCAGATTTCATAGGTGTGAGTATGAATCACACACCTGTGCAAGTATCAGGTACCAATTCAGAAAGTGAAATGTTAGAAAAAGAGAGAATTAACGTTTCTTGTGCAATGCAGATTTTGCTTCCTTTGAGCACATGCAGAATTGCAAAGAGCATTTAACTGCATTCTCACAGAGCTGCATTTACAAGCTCCTTTGTATTTTAATGAGCTCAATTTTCTAAACCACTGGATTCAAACCACTTTACTATGCATCTCTCTCTGGTCTTTTGTGGAAGGTTTGACACAGAAAACAGGTAACTGCAATAAAACCAATATTGAATCATATTCAATTTCCTTCCAGGTCTTATTAGAATGAACACCAGGAAGTGCTAGGCTTAAACCCCAAATCAGGGAGGCATTTCATAGCTGACTGTGTTTTGTTTTGTGTGAGATTTTTTGGGTGTTTTTATTAGGAAAATAATATTTTTCTCAGCTCAAAGTAACATATTTTCTTCATATTCATTGAACCAAGATATTGAACACAAAGGCTTTAATTAGGAGAGTTGTCAAAAGGAACAGCAAATCTCATTTTCATCATAGACTCATCAGCCTGTTTACTAGACTGATCATATACTCTCATGACTCTTGCCCTGTTGCTGTCATATGTAATGTTGTATATCTGTGCCTAAAAACCTAACTTTTGTGCAAAAGTAAATGTGAACACTTACTACTAACTTCACAGTGCTTACCTCTCAGGATTAGAAGGATCTGCTTTTCATATGGGCTTTAGTATTATTGTGAATTTTCTTTTCTCAACTATCTTTGGTCCTAAGTCTTCAAGAGTAACTTTATTTTCCTTCCTGTAAATCTGATAGCTAACTTGTAAAATGATTATCTGGTTTTGAGACGCAAAGCATTTCATCTGAGCTTTCAGGAGAATACCTCAGGATTTTAAGTGAATTGCTAAGCAGGGTGGGAAAAAGTTTGTCCATGTAAGACACAAATTCATGCAAGGGAAAACTTAAATAGAATTAAAAAAAAAAAAAAAGCTCTTGGCACAAGAGGCATCAAGTATTTCGCAGTTAATGAGGATGTATAGACAGATTGCGAAAACGCTTTACCTGAAGAGGGTTTGAACATTGACAATAGTCTTGGCATCTGCCATGTAGTCTTCCTCAGCACTCATCGTGCTTTCCTTGTCCACCACCACCATGTTAGCTGCAAAGGTGACCCCACACCTTAATAAGTCATCTAGGCTTTTGTGAAGAGAAAGAGGGAGAAAGAAACAAACAACTTAAATATGGAACACCTGAAAGATTAGCCATGGGTTGGCATCTGCAGATCAGCTACATAACAGCTTCTAATATAATCAAGGATAACTTCTCAATTAATTGGTAGAATAGAATATAGAATCTACTTCAGTAGGTTGTTACAGTCCCTCTCTTTCGTTAATTATAAATTTATTTCAGTTTTTTTTTAAATAAGCCTTTAACAGTTACTTGGGAACACTTTGGCCCTACCCACTGCAACAACTTGCTCCATTGCAGTTACATCTGACAATAGAAAAACCCAAATAAATGCTCCTGATTGCTCATTCCCACAGTTTTATTTTGGTTTCGAAATGTTAATTAATTAGCTGGAGTGTTCTCAGGATGCTTTTAGGAGCAGCTGCAGAGCAGCAGAACTTTGTGCACAGCTGGACAATGTGTGAAGCCCAACCACAGAAAACACTCACAGACAGCTGAGTTACAGTTCTCATCATGCCTTGTAGCTTTGTCTCCAAAATGAAGCATGTTTCAGCTGTTTTAACAACATTTTCCACAGATCCTAAGCACCTTTTGACAAGTGTGGTGGGTTTTTTTAACAATTTATTTTGGAAGAATTTATACCATTATTTTTGAAACTGCAATATCACTGATGGTTGACTACAACAAAAGAAAAACTGATTTTATGTGATCTATGAACAACTGCAGTGCATAAGTCCAAACTTTTTTTCTAAGTAATTTGTATTTCTGCTTTTTCAGACTTTCAATTGATCCCTGAAAATAGCAGCATATTCTTAAATACCCAGATTTTCTGCATTTCAATGTTTTATAAGCTCAAAAGCTATTCTTATTTTAGCAGTTACATGTGGCTGGCTTGTGGAGAATTTGAAAAATGCTAATGTGGAAGTATTATAACTCTACTTCTCAGGTACCTCTAGCTAAAGGTTACTCAAGATTGACTAGAGTTCTACACAACTGTGAGATCTGTTCAGTTGCAGATCTCAAATCCTACCCAAGGACTGGGGGACAGGTACCTACTGCTTGACATATTTTGATGAAGTGAACTCTGCTATGAATTTTGGTAAAGATGGTTTTTTTGTGAGCCATCTACTTCTAACAAAAAAAGAATGGTAAATGAAAGTAATTTCTTTGGTGGTTTTCTCTCTGAGATGATGATACTTCATTGCTGGTTAACAAATGATAAATATTTGAGATACTTATAGATAGTAGGTGGCACTTTGAGAATGTATTTTATATTCCTTAATTAAGAAAGGAAAATATGTATATTTTACAATGTATTTCTTATCTACAGATGGTCAGATCTATTAATTGTACAAGATTTAAAAACATGGTGAGGAAAACACAAGGAATATATACGAACTATATTTTTACAAGTATTCTTATTAATGATAACAGATGTCAAAAAAACCATCTACGAACTACAGTTGCTTATTGCACCCAGAATTAAAGTGATTTTTGCATCAGAAAAGATGCAGAAGTTCATGCTGGTATTACTGTGAACTTCTGAATTCTGAATAATCACTTATTCCAAAGACTACATGCTTCATTTTTTAAAAAATGCATTTAATTCTGAAAGAACAACAAAACACCATTAGGGAGGGATTTGGCAATTTCCATTTTGAAATAAACTCAGTAAATTTAAACAGAGTTTAATTTTCTACATTAGTAGAACAGGTTAACATCTGAGTTATTAATTACTTTAAATACTTCGAGTATTTCCTCTTGAGTACACATTTTGATGCCATTTGAGTTTTGTCTTTTTCCTTTTATATCACCTTCTTACTAAAACTATCTCATGTTTCATTTCCAGGTTGAGAAAAAAAACAACAATTTAATTATTCTGCCATTGTGTAATAATTATAACTATTACATAATTAATAGTTAATAAAGTAGTAGATATTAATAACCTGTGACGCTTTTTGCTTTGTAGGAAAAAATGTAAATAACACTTCTGTGGGCTCTTTCTGAACCTCACAAGGACCCGGTATCACCAAGGTAAATCTATAACTGTGTCACTGTTATAAGCAGGAAATAAGCTTTTTGATTTCTACAGGGGGAAATTAACATTATGGGCTTGTAGCCTCAATTCAGTATGCACTATGTAGTGAAGCAGTTTTCTTTAAATTTACAATCTACACTAAGGAGTTTACTAAAATATTCATGAGTCCTTGCTCTTCTCTTGTTTCTGCCTGATTTTCACATTAAAGTTCTGTTGCTAAACCTATATCCATAAACATATATTAGCAGAGGTGAAGACAGAAATGTAGGAGTAAGTGATAATTTAAGTAGTGTAAGATGAAGACTTTTGGACACATTCAAGACTGTTTACATTCTGTAGCTGTCTTTACAAAACCTGAGTCAATGAATTCCAAGAAATTTTAACTCAGTACAGACTGACACTAGAATCAGGACTATGATCTGTTCATTTGTAGAAACATATGAACTTACCTAAATAAGTGTTAATCTTATGTTTTTGAACATGTTAACTTGTGCTCCCTGTCATGCTTTTCCCTGATGAGCTCCTTTATAAATCAGAAATGTGAAATCCCAAATTACAGCAGACAGACACAGACTATGCATGCAGAAAGCTCATCTCCAACTACACCACACACAGCAGAACATGCAATGACAATACACACACCAAACCACTGAGACTACAAAGGTAAGTTTGCTAACAGTTATTTCACCTACTTGTCGATAGAGCCCACCATGTAGTAAACCATTGGAAACCAACAGATTGCATCCAGAAAATGCATATCTGGCCTAAGCAGCAGATGGAATTACAAAATGAAACACAGTATCACAACAGCAGCATCTCTTCCAAAATATTTTAATCAACTGGTAGTTTGGGGTTTTTAAAAAAAAAAAAACCTTTCTTAAACTTTGGCATTATGATGTCAGTTAAAGCAGGAAATAGGTTTTCAGAAAGCTGTGAATCAACACTTTGTGATCATAAAGAATGATCAGAATTAACATGCTTATATTAGTAAATGCACCTCTAAAATCAGAAATGTTATGGCACAGGACAATTCCAAATGTAAGAACAAATGAGTAACGTCAAAGACACACTACCAAGTTATACTCTAATGGGTGTCTTAGGAGGACTTAAAATAAGCATCAACAATTCTTAATTAAAATGTAAAGTGGAAATCAAATCATCATTTGGGTTTTGTGACACCTACTGCTTTCAAGCCTACTCCCTTTCAGAGGAGTCACTGCAAACGCTGCATAGAGAGAGACAACAGTAAGGGTGCTGGTTTAATTAGCAAGCAGAGCTTTTACTTCACATTAATCAATCAAAAGTGTGTTCAGCTATTAAGTGTCAGAACAGCCCTGAAGTGTGTGAAGTTGGGCACTGAGCTGGCACTAGAGGGCCCCCTGTGCCCATGGCTTTGCTCTCACACTGTCAGTGGAAGTGATTTAGCCTCATTTAGGCTTCTCGATTTGTGTAATTCACTGTATGCCATAGTACCTACATAAAAACCTTCTGTTTTGCCAACACAGGTGACTAAGGAGCTGTCTGAGGGAAAGTGGGACACTTCACAGCAGGCCTTTGTAGAAAAAAATCACTTCAACTGCAACAGATCTACACAAATGGAAGTGTCAGCCCTGGAATCACAACCTACAAGACATTTTTGCTTTCTTAGCTTGTTCTACTATTCTGTGTACAGGTAACCTCCATTTCTGTGTCTTTCAAACTGTGATTTTAAGTAGCTGAGCTGTATACCAAAGTGTTGCAAAAAAAAACCCCAAAAACGCTAATTATTTATCAGATTATAAATGAACCAGTCTTGACATAAGCAAATTTCTCTGAAATATTAAAATCAAACAATGAGAAAAATTCCAGCAGTCACCAAGAGATATAAAAGTAACAATAATACTGCAGGTTTAAATTTTCATCCGTGGCTTTAAATAATTTTAGATAAAATGTGTCTGTGGGTGTCCTTTTGGCTTAAAGAACTGTTTATCTTTGAGTGTAGAGTTATTAAAAATATACCTAACTGGTCCAGGCCACTAAGTGCATTGTGTTAAGTAGGTTAGTGCTGTCATGTAGCTGTGAAACTGTTATACAGCTTGCTTTTTACAGTGTTTATTAAGCTATTTAATTTTAGCAGTAACATTCACATTTTTGGGGGTAATTTTTAGAAAAACTTAGCTGAAATATTGGCCATGAAGAATAAGAACATTTAAGTTTACTATGGCCATTAACAGTCAATAAAAGTTCAGTTTTGTATATGACAGTGAACATGCAGCATGATTTTTGTCACTAACTTTTCTCAAAGATAAGTGTGCCATAATGTTTTTGATTTTCAGCTGGCCATGTGAAAAGGGGTCATCTATTGAATAATGGTAAAATGAGTTTAAAACTTATCAGAAAGGGGAAAAAAAAAACATTTTCCTTACGGGTTATCCAGCAGTAATACAATGGGGTTTAGTTCTTTCTTTGGTCGGTAATAAGCTCTCAGTGGGACAATGAAGTTGTATAAGCCATTTCCAGCAGTTTCTGCTGCAACTATAATCAATTTGTTTTTGAATCCATAGGCTTTGGCATCTTCATAGTAGTTATGCTGGCATCCCTAAAATCAGAGTAAAAACAAGTTCAGTGGATGTGAATATTGTATCAGATGACCCAACAGAGACCTCGTTAGACATAAACACTTGGAGATGAAAAGGAGGAGAGAATATAGCATTATAGAAAATACTGCACAAACTTCATCTCTAAGGAGAAATCAGAATTTGGCTCTGCTCAGATGCAAGAGATAAATGAGAGTGCAGGATTATCCAGTAGCAGAAGCCCCCTTTACCTTATCTAGTCTTAGACAACAGAAGGGTACTTTTTCATGCAGAAGATGACAAAAGGTGGGAGAACTTCCAATATAAGGAGAGTAAGGAGGATAGCCTTTGGCATACCTAAAATAGAAAAAAAAACATTTTTCAGTATAGCAAATTACCAAACACAGCTGCCTACACAAGTGTTTTATGGGATGTTTATACATACGTCCAAGTTTTAGATCAAGCACACAAAATGAACTATGTTCAACAGAGGTCAGAAGAATGTATTTCTAAGCCAGTTCAACAGAACTTAGTGAAAGCTGCCATGCTTTTGGGGACTGAAGGAATTTTGCATGGGTTTTTGAAAATAGTTTGTTGTATCACAGTGTGCTGCCATAGTGTTTTGAACTGGAAACTTTTAAGTTAAAAAAGGAAGGAAAGAAAGCAGAAGTAACTGTACTTCTGCTCTTCCTTCTCCATTTTTTTTTCCAAACATTTACCAAGAATGAGTGAAGTCATTACCTTTTAGCTTTAATAATGTACTTTCAAAATGGCCGAAATAAATTCTAAATGGCAAACCCTCTTCCCGATGAGGTGAAATTTCTAATTGGCCTTAGTTTATTTTTTACGAGAGACCTTTTAAATCCTGCTGTTTCAATCTGCACATTTAAGATGACTTGTCCTATTAATTTTTTCTGTGGAGCTTGATAATCTTCCCTGGGGCTTCTCATGCTTGCCATTGGTGGAAATGGGAAACTCTGCTGGTTGAGGCACTGGTTTAAATTGTGTATTTCAGTTTTAACACCCCTGTCAGCAATCCCAATAAACATAATTGCTCATCTGCACAGCAAGATTGAATCTTCTGGGTTTATCTGAGTAATGCATCATTACTTTCAGTAACACGCTAACAAGCATTTGGAATTAGATGTGATAATTTTGTCCCGTACTGCTTTTTTGTCATTCCTGCATTTTGAAGTCGCACACCCAGCTCCAGAAGTCCAAAGCTGGTTGGATGATCTGATTATCACTGGATTTGCATGGCAGGAATACTTATCTGTTTACAAATTTGTTGAGTGCTCATGTAATAATTATAGAAATAAAATAAAAAGCCCTAGAATATGCTATGAATGCATTGCAATACATGACTACAGCTTTTAGAACTGCAAAGAGAAAATCTCCTGCAAACGGAAGAGTTTATCTGTGGGGTGTTCTTGTATTTCAAAGTAGGCTTATGGCATTCTGCTAGCATTTCCTCTATGGGAATAATTCCATAATTGCACTTCACGGAACTTCCTTCCTAGAAGTGCTCAGATTGATCTGCATTCCAAAAAAGATCGATGCTTTTTACATATGGTGTTAACTTTTCACTTTATTTGACATTTAGCATACGTACTCAAAGCCTGCAGAGCCTTCCTCGTCGGAGGGGGTGGTTTCATCCTCGGACTGGTCGCTGAGCAGGTCGCAGGTGGGCAGGGAGGAGGAGTCAGCCACCTCGAGCACGGGGGCGATGCTGGGCCTCCTGCCCTCCCTGCCCCCCTGGGCGGGCAGCGCCAGGGTGGCACCGCTGGCCCCGCGGCACCCCGTGTCCTGCAGATCGATGGCCACGGTCCCTGGGCAGGGAAAACAAGGAAAGCACAAGTCTCCTCAGTGCTGCTCAGAACGTGGGAACGGCATTCCCGGATTTACTGGGGACTGCCTGGCTGCCTGGGAAAGGACTGGCAGCAGCACTGCGCTGGGTGTGTTTATTGCATTAAAGTAAAACAAATATTTCAACTGTACTCAAGGAAAGTAACGCTTTTCCTGACAATTAGTCTGTGTCTTCTTGTTAACTGCCTCTTTAAAATCATACCTTATATAATCAGTCCATTTTACTATGCATCAACAACTTGTAGATTTTAGTTAAGGTGTTTTTTAAATTACAGGAGCTCATGAAAACTTCTTACAAACCATCAGGTATGAATGACAAACAAGTACTCATATGATTTACCCCCTTGTTTTGCTTTGCATTCACTTCATTATTACTTTTTTATACCACAGTCTTAAGTAGTTTAGTTCCACTTTGTCAAGTAAAAAAGAATCAAATTCCATTTGTTTGTTTGGGGCTTTTGGTTTTGGTTTGTCTGCTTGTTTGTTTTTGTCTGGGTTTTTCTTTGGTTTGGTTTGGGTTTTGTTGTTTGTCTGTGGGTTTTTTTTAAATATGAGGGTAAATGTTTTAAGTTTTTCTAGTCATTCTCTCTATTCATAATTACAGTTTCTTAAAAGCTTAGGAAGATGCTTTAAAATGTGCTACTCATTAAATAAGAATATGTTGTGATGTAATCTTTTTTTTTTTTTACTTACCCATGCTGGCTATTATACTGTGTACTGGTAACCTAGAAGCTCCATGATAAGATAATTTTGATTCATGGTTTTTTCTATGCTTTTCTTGCTTCTTAAAAGCAGAATTCTCTTCTTTGGTGATATTTATATAAAAGCATATATCAGTAGAACTCATGATATATCGAGGACCTGGATTCAGCAAAATGTTTTTGTTATCTTCCTTTCTAACACCAATCAGACAGACTCCAAACCTTAATTAGAAAAGGAAAGGCATGGTTCATTTTGCATAGTCCTGCAAACACCAGAATTTCCATTGTCAAAAATGAACCTCAGGTATATTTTTATTCTTTGCACATTATGAACATTTGCAGCTTTCTGGATGACAAGAATGTTTGAAAAATGTGTCCTGCTAAATAGGCCACACCAAATCAAGCAGATTTTATGAGCTCATGAATTCCCAGGCAGTTGAGTGTTTTTTGTAATGCCCATAATATTCTCCTAATGTTGTTCTAGTTGATTTTTTCTGTCAGATGAATAGTCCTTTCTGGGAAAATATTGGTAGAAAAATGGATACATGATATGAAAAATTATTAATCATGTTAAATTGTTCCATTATTTATAAGTAATGGAGACCATTTTCATAATTCATTTTTCCAATTCATTTATAAAATGTATTTGATTAGTGATAGAAAAGAAGGAATTACAGAAAAAAACCCTCTTTTTCTCCTTGATTAAGTATGAGAATAAACCCAGCATTTAGGGTTTGATAAATGCTTATTTCATCAAATATATAAACATACATGATTTGTGTTTATTTTGCATGTTCATGTCACAGAGCAGCACTGGAAAAGTGATGCATCATCTGGACCTTAAAGCAGGTATGTTATCATCTAACAGAAAAAAGAGTTTTATATTTGAACAATTACCAGAATGTACCATGTGACACCTTTAAATTGAACATTTTCCTTAATATAAACAAGTCACAAAGGAAGCCAGATTTCCAGCTGAGTCCTAAATAAATTTTAAAAACCCCACACCCTCCCACCCATTCATTTCTAGATTGTTTTGGACTTGGAAAAGGATTGTGGTTCTTTAAAAACCTCCAAAATCTGCCTTTTTTTCCTGGTTGTCCAGCTTATCCTTTATATCTATAGAACACTATTCTCAGACTGAGATGGGCTATTCAGGATGAACATAAGCTTCTACCTGACCAGCTCCACTTACAGAAATAAATCTATATTAGTGGCCAGCAGCTTAAACCCAGAAACAGATCAATGTGCAGTACTGTGCCTTTACTGCAGAGCCACGTTGCAGGCAAAACAAGTTATTTCTTTGAACTTCTGATGCTTGATAAGAAAAATAAACATACTTTTTATGTGCATGGAAAGAAGCATATGTGAAGCTCTTCCCCTCATACTCTGCAAAAAATGTACTTTCTTCCAGGTTGATGTGATACACTTCATTACCAGAGCATCTGCCATACATTTTCTGCCATTGTTCTGGTGATTGCTGACTCTCCCTGAAACATAAAGAAAATAATTTAACACTTAATGCAAAATTCTTATTAATCAGAATCGTATTTCCTGTCAACAGAAACTACAAATGTCTACTGAAAAGGTCCCATAGGCTAATCTGAAAGAAGTATTTGAGATCAAATCTTGGTTATATTTTAAGTACAGAGATTATCTTGGTGTATTAAAGAGCATTTTCTGCTAAGTAATAGATATATGAGAGTATGTACTTTAATACCAGGAGAGAGGTGGCTCAATTACTTTAAAATGACACCATAATAAGTAGATCCATGGCAGCTTGAAGATGACAGGTAAAACCAGCAGCATTCTCATGACATTCATAAAGACAGTTTCTTCACATGCTGTGTGGCAGACTCTTTGGTTCCTGTCTGAGTATTATTAATACCAACTTATGTAGGAAAGAGTCATTTGTCTTTGGTCATTTGATTTGTGAGAGAGATTCTTCTGCATTTGCTTATCAGTGATCTTTATACTTGCTGGGTATTTTTTGGTTCCTGTGTCTTGTAGACTATTACAAGTACATAGCTTCTTTTCTTTGGCGCAAGAAAATGAGTTAAAAAGCAGATCACCCTTTACTCTATGCATTATACTTAATGCAAACAGTTCAGTGAAAATTTCCAAACCTCAGCAACCCCAACACTTTTAGACCTGGAGCTCCTGGGAACTTCTTGATTAAGTCTGGAATGTGGAAACAAGGTTCTGCCTGCATAATTTTCACTGGAGGGAACTGATGCATATACACACAGATATGTGCAGATAGGTCATGAATCTGCCAAGTGTATCCTGTGTTTTCCCACTTGAAGTGAAGATCCCAAGGTCCCAGGACATGCTCATTTATACATTCTCAATACCTTAACACAACTTGTATTTTTCTTCCATTTACCATGTTTCTTCACTCTCATCATGAAAACATTTTGTTTCAAGATGAAAATAAGTAAACCATTTTTGTTGCAACACTATAAATAGTGCAGTAGGTATAGAACAGCACTAGCCATGTAATTTCAGAACATTTTCCCTTATTTCACTTTTCCCCTTAAAATAAAATTGTCACCTGTTTAATGTCTGCTTGGTTCCAGTGAGTTGTCTGAAAGCTTCCCATGGGGCTGTACTGTAAAGATCACATTAACTCCAAGTCAGAAAGGTTATTTTCTTCCAATATCTTGTATCATCAAACAAGCCCTAACAGAGTTGTATTACTAGTTTAGATAACCACATAACAGTTAAAGATAAATGTTAAGGTTATTAATTAAGATTGATAATAAGATTATAAATAAGATTCAAGGTAGAATTTTGGTGTCTCACAAACTAAAGTTTTGAATTCCACAAACAGCTGAGAAGACAACAGGATTATTTGCACCTCCTAAACAGGTATTTAAAATTTGAGTCCTACATAAGGTTTCATGCAGGTACTAATAGCAATCATGATAATAAAAGGATAATTAAACAGGAACTAATGTAAAGGAAAGCAGTTCACTATTAACATTAGAAGTCCATTTAACAAATTATTTTCATTATGTAGATCTAATTTAGTATTTTGTTTGGTTTATAAATACATGTACATAAAATTTTTATTTGTAATTTAAATAATCTACTTTCACCTGATATTTTTACTTAGCGAAACCCAACTGCTCATCTGACTTCTTCTTTCATATGCATAAATAATGGTAATTTCACCTACTTTAACAACTAGCAGTTAATTTACTTCTTGTTCAACAACAAAATACATCTGGAAAAGCAAAGAAACAACCCTCTCTGAACTATAAATTGGTCAAATCCAAAGCAGTTTATGTCTGCAGTACAATGACAAATGTCCTTATTTTGGAGTCTGTCTGAGAATCAATGCTTTGAAGAGTGCTGACTGCAGTAGATAAATAATAACTAGACATTTTCACTTTTTCAGTCTTTCTGTATAAATACAGAAGAGTATTCTTACAATAACATAAAGTGTACATTCCTTCTGAAACACACATTATTTTAATCCTTCTGGATTCAAAGTAATGCTACAACTATTTGTGCAAAAACTTTCTTCTTTTTGCTCCTAGTATACAATGACCAGACTAGAAACCAGTTATTTGTATTATGCTGGTTACATCTATTAATTCTGACTGCAAAAGAAATCTTAAGCACTTTTGAATTCTGTGACAGTTACTTTGTATCACAGTTGGGAATCTGTAAATTATCAATGTGACTGTATTAAACAATGAAATGCTGAAGTTTCTAAGTACAGCAGAAATCGTTTCCCTTTTCTGTGTTTGGTTTTGTGCTGAAGGAAAATTCCCTGACAGCTGTTAGGAACACTGCTCTTCTTTTAGGTGCACGTAATATGAAATAACTGGAACAGACTCTCTGCATGTCACAGAAGTACAAGGTAGGCAGATAAAAAAATGTATAAAGAATGTGTTTCACCACAGTGCTCAGCAGGTGTCCAAACAATGTTTTGTTGTCCTCCTACTAGGAGATTTTAGTGCACACTGCCATTAAAATCTTGACATTTGTTGTTCTCAGTAGTAACAGTTCCAGGAAGAATTTGTTTTCCCCATTCTGGGCAAAGGGGAATACTAGAAATGTCATATAGAAGGTTAAATAACTCTGCTTATAAATAGATATATACTGGGTTCATGATTACTTGAAAAAGAAGTTAGCATGTTACAAGACTTATATAGTGTATACGCAGCTATTCCATTTCTACAAATATATTTAGAGATTCACTCTTTATTGCATCTGTCTGCCCAGACATTTCAATCAAAAATACCTTATTATTCCAAGAATACAGCATAAAAGAGATACACCAGATCTGGTAAAATTATTTTAGTGAATTCAGAGAAGCTCTATTGTGACTATGCAGTCTGCAGAGACACCATAATTCTGCACCCCTTCCAGCAGTGTGGTAATGTTAAAATTAAAAATCACGGATGTTTGTTTGCCTCTTAACATACAGGCATAGAAGAGTAAATACTACATGTCATCAAAAAAACTTTTTTTTTTAGTTCATTGAAACAGACCTTGAAATTAACCTATTAGAATAGATATTCTTAGGATTTGTTAGTGTTCATAAGTAGAACTTTGTGATAGAAACACTTCAATCTACTAAACCAGACATTCAATTTTTTCGTATTTTATATTGTGAAGTGGCACAACAGCATGAAACAAACTTAAATACTGGGGGAGGGTGTCTTCTCTTCAAAACTATACTGCCTTGAGTAAGGCATTTTGATGCTTTTATTGTGCAGAAAGTTCCATTTTCTTTTTCAAAACTGTAATTGTGTGAGAAGCCAGGGTAAGCTGTTTTCTAGATATGAGCTGTGACTTTTTCTATACTTACTGTCCCCTAGATGTATGAACCAGCAGAGTGATTAATGTAGAAGTAGCTGGACATATGCAATTTAGAGCTAGCATAGCATATTTGAATTCCTCTTCACATACAACATGATCTGTAGGGAAAAAAAGATGGATACAAATTGTTTTACAAAATTAACAGAACAGAATTATCACTTCCTTGTCTAGGAAAGTGGTGAAGATGGATCAATCAAAAGTTGGCCCAACATCTTAATTTTCTGCTTGAACCTTGGAAATCATCTGTGTATGATTTTCCCTGTCTGTGCTATCTAACATGGATGGCTACTGTTTTAAATTCAGATCACAGTTAAATGCTCTCCAGGGCTTGCTGATGGCATGAAAAGGAAATAGAAATTATTCTTTAATGTAATTCCCATATATCTGTGACAGTATTGAAATACCTATTAAAAGGGACAAGCACAAAACTTGTAACTGCTTGTCAGTATAGAAACATCAATTCAGAGAAGTTTTGTAAAACCATGAAGGCATTTAATACCAAGTCAGTTTTTCCCCCCTGAATATGGTCTTTGGTTCTTTTGATGGGATCAGAATTTGCTCCTAATCAGAAAGAATATTACAAGTAGTGAAGTTGATGATCAAAACATAGGCACATGAAAATTGCTGAGTAAAGGCAGGCAAACAACCTCCCCAGCCAGACCTGAAATCTGCACATCTGCTTCTGGTTTCACCAATGTGACACTGAAATCCTTAGAACCTCCTTGCCTCTCTAAGCTGCCTTCCTGACAGAATTACTTGTATAGCTATAAGCATGACACTTCCTAAAAATAAAAGTGAAGGCATATTGTGCCTTCTCTGTTCCTTTTATTTTGAAATATCTAGAGGCTTTTCAGTAACAGAATCATTTACTACTGAATTGAGTAATTAATTCTCCTATTTTCTGAAGATCAGAGCCTATTTAAATGTCATAGGGAAGGGATGAATTTAGTTATATAAAGACACTGTCAAATATAGGACAAAATGAGATTTTTCTTCCTGTAAATATATTTCAGCTGTAGCAATTAAATATTTTCTGCAGAAAATGTTTCAGATAGAAATATGTTCTTTTAGTTGACCATATGCCATTAATAAACCTACTTGAATTTCAAACTAGAGAGGGTAAGGCATAGTTGGTGGCTTGAACAGAGTATCTGCAGTCCATTACCATTAGTGAGATGACAGAGATGTGGAAGTGAATACCACCTTCCTGACACTGAAAGATAGAGAATTCTTGCTAATTTTTAATTTGTTTAGGATTTTGCCAAATAACCTCCCCTTATTTTTTGTTTGGAATGTTGTCATATTATAGCTAAACATTTTGAAAATAAAAGAAAAAATACACAGGGTAATGATTTCATCCTCTGTCACTTCAAATCTTGTATTTGAACCCAACTGTACACGCTGGCCTAAATATATACAAATGGAAGTTAATAAATCACAGATGGCACAATGAAGACGAAAACTGTAGCTTCAATCCTCCAGATGCACTCTACTCTCTAACATCTATGGTGAACTTTCTTGGCAGATCTTTATGTAAACTATAATGTTACCAAAGAATACAGCATACAGCAGAGATTGCTGTCCTACAACAGCCTCTTAATCATGTCTGTAAGAGATTCACATGGTGTTGTCAAGTGTTTTTACATCAGGAGCCTTGGAGCTGGACTTTTGGACTATTTTTGTACCTGTTTGAGACTCTGACCTTCCGCAGGTAAGTTCTTGTATTAGACACAGACCAGGTCAAAAATGCCTTGTTCATTTCTACAATTACTTGACAGTTTCTAGCCTTCCTATAACGTTAACTGTGTATTCTGTGTATGCTCAGGCCTTGTCTTGAGGAGGATTACACAGAACTTTGACTGCTGCCTCTTTCAGAGGTGAGCAGGGAGGAAGCTGGATGACAGCTCTCCCCCTCCTCAGGTCTGGGACATCACTTGTGGCCCCTGACAGCAGGTACCAGAATCAGCAAATTACTCATGCAGTGTGACAGTGAGGCAGCCCAGGAAATTGCAGTTTGTCTTGAAGTGAATATTAAATATGTCATATCAGCTTGCCAGAGAAAGAAGTATTTTGATTGAGTTTATACTAAAGAAATATTACATGTAGAATTTCCGTAAGTCGCTGTTTCTGTTGAAAATCTATTTTGACAGCAGTTTTGTTGCTAAGTCTGTCTCAAATGGATGTAGTAATGCAGTGGGGTGAGTTATGGTTTCTGCGATGTTACTGAGGATAAAACAGACTCAAAATACTGATTTATGCCTGCAGCAGCAGCCATGTGGTAAGAATGACCTAGACCTGGCACAATTATTCTGAGAAACCTTACTTTAGTCAATTTGATAAGTTAACATGACCACTACCAGATCTGATAGAGAAAAATGCCCATCCATTACCTCTAGACTATTTTTATCTGTAATTGGACAGATTAATCATCTGCTGCATTTAATATCCATTTAGGTGAATCTGGACTATGTTTCTTTGAAATAAACTACTGAAGCTTTGATGTCAGGCTTCAATAATCTGTGCTAATTCATGGGTGCATTTTGCATAAATAGAGAATGTCAAAATGTATCCCCGTTCCCTGGAACTGTAATTATATATAATTTCCAAATATTCAAAGTAAAGGATATATATACACACACATACACATACAGACACACACAAAAATTATAAAAGTTTTAATTTCAGCTCAGAAAATATTGAATTTAGTAGTCTCTGAATTGCATAAATATATTGCTCTGCTGTGGAAAATCTTCACTTTATTTCCCTTCTGTGCTGAAATGCAGGGCCAGGAGCTTGCACCAAGGGTACATGGCCTTTTGTAGCCTTGTGTGTTTGAAAGAAAAGTGGGAAGATTAAGAATCTAACTGCCAGCATTACCTAAAGAAAACCTGGGCATGTCAAGGCATTTTTATATTGGAAATTACTAGGGAGAAATCAAAATATTTCAGCTCAAGAGATAAGATAGTTCCCCATCTGATGACTGTGGTGTTAACAGTGGCTATGTATTTAAAGTGTTCACACCTTAAACTTGCAAAGGGTTTTGCTGGGACAAACATTTATGCCACTGTAGCAATGTAAGCAGGTTAATATTGTAAACAAAATAGTTAAAATTCACTGTTAAAAATATCAGAAGGCACAGAATGCAAGATGTGTGTGTGTGGCACCAGGTGGAAAGTGAAGAAATCTGACTTTCTGACAGGTCATATGAGCCTGGCCAAAGTGCCTCCATTCTCTTGCTTTGAGGACAAAAATAAATTCTCATTCTCTCATTAAAGACAGGGAGGATGTTTAAGTCTTGTTTACAGGATGGGAATACATTATAACAATTACTTTTCCCACATACTGTTCCCTAATCCTATAGGAACGTGCAGTAAGTATCTGAATTTCAGGACTGCCTCATGCAATCTAGGACTGGTCAACCTAATATAAGCTGCTGAGAAACTGGGCTGCTAGTGCTTTTTACATTTTTAATGTTATTTAAATTAAACTTTAGTTAGGAGGCCTATTTGGTTGTATTTCTTCTAAATTCAAAAAGTTCATTTTTGACAGCTGTAGTCTCTAAACCAGTGTGTAAAGAAAAAAAAAAAGAAGAATAAACGCTATTACTGAGTACATCAGGTTTATAAAAATGCCCACTATTGTTCTGGGAAGCCTCTGGAAGAAAATAGTAATTTTTTCAAGGAATATCAGATTTAAAAGAAGCTTTTACATTAAGGCAGTAATAAAGCAGCCCTGAATCATAACAGGAAAAGCACTTAGAAAAATGTTCCAGGTGGTTGTGACAAATTTCACTCGTAAACACTCTGGACAGGTCTGCAGTCTGCAGCCCCCACTGGGTACATGTTTCAGGATGATGAAGTGTTGGGTGACATCAATACCAAAGGGAGATCCTCTCAGGAAAATGTATGCCAACTAATATTGTTCTCATGGCTCCAGCAGTGCCTAAACATTTGCAGTAGGTGAGCATCCAGTGGTGATGCTGAAGTTCAATTGAAGGAAATTTTACCAAAAGAGTTTTTTTGGTTGTTGTTTTTTAGTTTGGTTTTTCTTTTTTTTTTTAATATGGTTCAAATTCTATAACACTTCAAACAGACATGAAAAATTGCCTCTGTTTTAAAAGTCTAGTTGTATATAAGCTCCTACAGAGACAAGCCATTAGGAATAATGAAACTCTCTTAAAAGCACAATTTGGAACAACAAATTAACACAGTTACTGATAAAGGAAAGCGGCCATGGCTAAGGGAGCAGGGATTATGTTTGTGCTGGCTGGTTTTAAGGGGGAGATGAAAAAGTACCATCATTCTCATCACAGCATGAGCCTTATTCCCCTCTGTGCCATTTCATACTTGAGATTACACTTTTATAACTTCAGAACTGCTACTGATGGGGTTTCTTCTTCTTTCTAACCCAGTGGTAAATTCCACAGCTTTTAAAATTACAGCTTTAACTGTTGCTCTGGAGCAGTTCTGCTGGAATTTACTTTTTCATCACATTCTGGGATGATGGAGGAGACTAATATTTTTCCAGAGAGTTGTTTTTATTTTTGCATGAATCAGCAATCTTTTCTTCCTTGGAATATAATTCAAGAAAACTGAATTTTCAAAATTGCAGCTGAAAAGGAAAGCTTCTCTTTTACTTCAGAGCTATTTCTCCAAAAGTATTTGTGTGTTTTTGCACATGAGCATTTGTACATCTATGTACTTGCATAAGTGACTGACATAGACAGAAAGAAAGAGAAACATATAATGCAGAGAAATAGTTTGTCAAATAAAAGGTGGTTACAAGAGTGATTTTCTCAGATTTCTTAACATCATTTTGCATTTTATGCCATGGTTTCTAAGGCATGCATTTTACTAGATACAGAATTAAATTATATATCTCTCTCCAAAATATTTGCAAGTAATTAAAATCATGTTTTTCATACCACTTGGTAAAAGACAATGAGAAGATTTTTCCCTCAATCATTTGTTGGACTAAATCTGAATAGATCTTCTTATACAGCCCTTAGTAACTATGTTTTAGTAGACAGAAATGAATTACAGCCATGGGTACAGTAAGCTGGAGACTTACCTGGATCTGGAATAAAGGAGTAGTTACACATGAAATAATCATACTCTCTATATTATGTAGCATAAAAATATTAATTCTTAAAAGTGCTTGTAAGTAAGTCTTTGCCATGGCTAGGATGTGTATTATTTTACAAAACTGCACATTTAATCAGTTTCTAAGTAGTAAATATGCCCAGGGATTCTCACTTTGTTGTGTTCATGAAACAAACTGTCAAACACTGACAAGTGCTTCAAATGCCAGCAATCATCCACTTACCTGCAAACTTGATGTGGAATTTATTCTCAGGCTTCAGTATCTGAACATACAAAGGACAATTTGGAGCAAAGTCTTTAACTGCCCAAGCTCTTAAAATAGTTTGGTGATCCTAGAAGAAAGAGTAGGACGGGGTGCCAATGAAATAAAAATAACCATGTCAGATTAGAAAAGGAATCTATTATCAGACTTGCTCCATTGAAGAAAACTCATTTTAAGACCATGTGGCACCAGCTGGTATGGATGTTTATGTGCAAGTTATATAATTGCTTTACTTATTAATTTCCAGCAATCTTCCACTAATAAGGTATTTTGAACCTCTCCTATTTTTCTGCAAATGCTAATGATTGTGTTATTTGGAAAGGGGTAGCATTTGGATATGAAATGATTGTGTGAAAACTTAAGATGGCAGTGATTAGTCATGTCTAATTAATCAAGAATTATGTAGCATAGATGTCCTTACAAAGAGACTCATAATTAAAATAGCATTAAATGACGACATCAAGAACTGAGAGTTTAAAACTGTGGGTGATTCTAAAAATATCAGTTTAATTAAAAGCAGATCTGAATTTTTGTGGAACTAAAACATTTGCACAACTGATGTCAGGATTTAGCCAGCTATTAACCAAAGATTCCAAGAGATTTTTCACGCTGTTAAGTTTTTGGTCTTGTTACCACATGGCAAGAATGAGTTAACTGCAGGGTGAACACTGCTAATTATAAAAGTCATCTATGTGATAGTGCATTCATATTTTGAATTTTGTGACATAAGACTAATTCCAGTGTATCATCCATCAGATTTTTATTTATTTCAAAACAAACATTTCAGAGCAGTATCTAGGAATCCATTCCTGGATTGAAATGCCTTACCTAGTCATGAAATTGGTGGTATTTAAAGATAAAATGTAAAGAATGATTCATTATATTTGCAGCATCAGCAGTAAGAAAAGGTTTCAGACTTGTGAACACAAGGGAAAATCTCTGCCTGGAACAGAATGTAATTGACATTTTCAAACTATAATATTTTATTATCAATTGAGATGTTAGGAAGTTTTTCTACTAGAAAAACTAAAATGGAGTAATAAGAGGATGGCAAAATATTTCACATTTTTCTTATTAGTCATTTGATAGATGTAGGATTGCTCTGCCATTTAGGAGATTTAAGAGCATGGGTGTGACCTGCTGTAGGTTTTCCTTGTGTGCAGCCACTTTTTTTTTTTTACTTTTCTATAACATATGGCAAGCTACCCTCCTCAGGATTTTGTGTTTATGTGTGCTGTTGGATTTTCTTGTTTTTCTTAAGGTAATGACACACCAACACAGCTAGAAGCAGCAAGTGACTGGGTAATGTGCTAGATGGCTGTCACACAGATGTGCTACATGCCTAGAAATATAGTTATCTCTATGTTAGATATTTTCTTGGATTTTTTTAATTATAGTTTTTTTAAAGCCCAGTTTTATCAGAATGTGCAATGATTGTTAAAAATAAGAATAAAGATTTCATTATAAAATGATTCAAATTACACTTATTTTATTAAAAACTCAAACAAACCTAGACCCATAGATCAACTCAGTGAGTATGCACTGTTAATCCAATAACCTTTCATTAATGTTTCTTTTTTTCTCCTTCCAGTTGGTATACCCATGTGTTTGTGTACAATAGCTACTTATTTGGTTCCCAAGTTTTTTGCTCAGTTATTCTCCCAAATTCCACTCTGAAGAAGGACTCCAGGGGAGAGAAAGAAAAATACAGGTAGGCACCTTAAGTGATTTCTTAGATTCAGTCTCTTCATACAGTATTGTGGCTCTCTGTTTTAAAATGTAGCAATTTCTATGCTATATTGCAGTCACTTTAAAAAATGTTCACCTTTCTCCCAATATATGGTACATATGTACACACAACAAACAGAGGTAACTGAATCAAAATTATGCTTCTGTCCCCATTATTAAACATTCATGTCTTTGGAAGATGAGTCAAAAAATATATTCTCTTCTATGTGATTTCAACACAGTGAACTGCAGTCAGTGATCAAAAATTACCACAGATCCAAATGGTGATTAATATAGAGGTGATATTTAAGTTCATGTATGAAAAGCTGCAAGTTTTAAAGTGGGTGCATTTCAATCATAAGAACTCAAGGAAATGCATTTAATATGTATTTAAAGTAGTTCTGTTAATTGAATCTCTTTTTTGCCACACATAACTGGATAAATTAGGTATACCCTGCTATGTTTGCAGGGTATTGTGATGCCATTAAGGCATTGTAATTTAGATTACCACTACAGCAGAGTCACACAATTTGATTAATGAAAGGGGAAAAAAAAAAGGTGTAAGCTTGAATTGGACCATCTCTGAATTTTCAGAAAGCATCAGAACAAAGCTGTAGCTACAGCAGAAATGTTATCACTAGAAGTTATTAACTAACAAAATAGCAAGCAATGAACAGCCAGGGGTATCCATGGCAAATGAGTAAATCCTCTGCCTGAGCATTGTAGCTGGGGGGATAAAAACTCTCAAAAAATCACTTGAGTAACAACACCTCTTCTGGTCAGGAATCTCCTCCTTTTATTTTGACAGCTGTCATGCATAGGAGAGGATCCAAGGCTCTTTTAGCAGTTTGTCAGCTTCTCAACAACAGCAGGGTGGAAAATCAGTGGTACTCATAAAGATTGTTACTGGGATGACAGCTGAACTTCCTTCAGCCTTGTGACAAACAAACCTCTATACTACCATGAGGCTGGAGCAGTGTAGGAAATACAATAAATTTCATTTCACAGCCCTAGGGGGCAGTAAGATAAAATAGTTTTTTTTAAAAATTAAGAATTTTCCATTTGCAGTATAAATAATTGCATTCTCTGTGAAAATGTAATCTGACAGCAAAAGGGAGAACAAGGCAGAGATGTGACACCTTGTTTCAAAGCTTCAGAACCCACCGACCCTGAGATATCACTGTGGCCCAGGGGAAGGGACCAGGAGAGAGTGTTTGGTGAGATGTGCCTGTTTGTGTGCTCCAGGTACAAAGAGAAATGAGATTTAATAGAAGTCTGCAGTGGCAGCTGAAGTGTGCCAGGTCCCATCCTGGTGTTTCCTGAGGGCAGGAAGGATGAGCTGCAGTGGGCCATGGCTCCAGAGCCAGAGCTGCACCATGCTGGCCACAACGGATGGGAGCTCTGGGAGCTCCATGCAGAGCCCACTGCCTGCCCTACAGCAGAGTCCAGCAGAGCTGAAAATTGGCTTTTCTCTGCATAAATTCTGAAGCAGTTATGAGCAGAGATGAGCAGCTGACTGGTGGTATTGGTGTCCTTAATGCTGCATAAACCTTCCCAGTGCAGTATAAATCACACTCCGATTTTATGGGGTTTCTCATTTGTAACCACTGCGCAACTCTCAAGTACATTATGTGAAATGAGATGTTGTAGCTGATTTATTCTGAATTATGAAATCATGGCTGATTTAGATAAGACACCTGGGCTATTTTGGAATTTTTTAGTCTCCTAGAAGTTACAGGTACTTTTCAAGGTATTTGCACGAACTCCTGCTTGTTCTTACCTTTAAATACCCCAGACCCTCTGTCACTTCCAAGCAGTAGTTCTGCCTTGCTTGACTACTCTGGGATTACTTACTGCCAGTTCAGTGGCTTTCACTGCTGTATTTTCAGGAGTCTATTGCTGATGAATCAAATTCAAAGTCCTTAGGTCAGTAAGTTTAAACGTTTTAGCAGGAGCACAGGTTTATGTCTCAGGGACCTCAGTGAATTTCTGCAAGGGATGGGTCCAGAACAGGATCTTTAGCTAAGATCTTTCAACTAAGTTCTGATGCCAGATGAAGTAATAAGTGACAGAAAATATATTAAGTAATGTTACAGATATCATGCAAAGCTCTCATTTCCAATTTTTTACTATATCTGTTTTCAACATTAAGAAAAATTATTGCTGTTTCTTACAATGTGGCACCAAAACAGTATTTTTAGATGAGATCGCTTAAAATATAATTACTGAATTGTAAATATTGGTTGTGTCTTGTTAGCCAATTTACAAGCATCTTCAGGGATATTCAGACTAATACTGAACCCTTTTGGAGTTCAAGATTGAACAGAATGAGGCAAGCCTGCAATAATTTATTGTAGTGCACATAGTGGAAAATTTCAAGTTATGTTCATAAATCCATCCTCAGTGGAATTTTTTTTCTGGATCTCTGTGATCAGTAGATAATTTCATTAGCTGGAGGAGTTCTAGTTCATACAGTGTTATTCTTTTATCACAGATGCACTGCACAGAAGTTGGTATTAGCAGTGTTCCCTTGTGGACAGTAACTTACCTGACTGCAAATAACAACCAGCATGGGCAAACCCATAGAATTTTATTTAAACAATCCTGCAGTTTTTCATTTTTAAAAATGGCCCATATGAAAAATGGTCAAATAGTCTCATATATACTGGTTGCTTCTATTAGTCACAAACTTATTTATGAAGTTGAATTCAGGCTTTACTTCATTAGTTCTGAATATACCAGTCAGTTGATACCGGTCTCTTTTCTGATTTAATAAATACAACTGATTAAATTGAATATCTAGAGCAGTTCAGGTACTTTGAATATTGACAGAGCAGCATTCTTGGAAGTGATTAATGACCAGTTATCAATGTATCCATGTATCTACTATGACAGTACACTTATGCTATTCTGCCCTTGTTGCACAATAAAGAGCTGAGAGGGAGTAAGGGCAGTAAAACCTGTCCATCCTGTCATTTCTCCCTCCCCACTTACTGCTGCTGTCCTGTCCACCTCACAGCGGCTGCTCAGGATGAAGCAGGCTTCAGCATTGTCCATCCTGGAAGAGAGGAGACAAACCTGTCACAGCCCAAGCAGGCACCCATGGACTGGTGTCACACAGTCAGATCTTGCACAGGGACACAGAACACAGACAAAGCTGAGTCTGTTCTCATTTCTTACCCTGGTGACAGTAAAAGCTGTGCCAAAGTAGTAAAAGCAGAGTGGCCTTAAACTTAATTTGTAAAGTTTTTATCTGCCATGAGTATGAAGGTGAATAAAGAGCACCAGCCTGCCTGGTGTGTAAGAGTGCAATATGCACAAGTTATTACTGGTGAGAATGAACTAGAGGGGCAAGTAACAGACTTGTCTTGCCTAGTGAGAGCAGAAAGTTGGGTAGATGTACAAGAGTAATGTGCTTGGGATAAATAACAGACATTTCTGTTAATATATGCATTAAATGAACTCTTCCAGTTCACAGTGTCTCGGATTAGAAGAAATCATGGGATCTCTATGAGCAATTTTAGCTAAGCATAGAAGTAGTACTGGGAAGACAGGAAAGAAGTTATAGGAAAGAAAATTCAGTAAAATTAGATGAGATTTTTTCTGCAAAAATGCGGTCTTTTGTAATTGGCTATTCACTGCTGATGCCGTCACCCAGCTGTTGGTATTCCTTTACTTTTTGGTGTTATCTTTATCATGTTATTTTGACATTGGTTCACATATAATATATGGATACATTTTGATAATGAGACCCTTCTTGATTAATTTTTTGTTGTTGGTAAATATTACTTTATTTATTAGAAGAATTTTATCATGTGCCTTATTAGCTCTTCAGTACATTATGTTCTCATTAAAAAGAAATGCACAAACATCTTGGGTACTGGGTTATATTTCATATCCAATGTTCTATTAAATTCCCACTATGCTTCTTCCCTCAGGAGAGGTTGAAAATTATTCTGTGACAGGTACATTCAATTACATGTTCTGCAGGAAAAAGCACAGTTCCACAGCTGACTACCTCCAGGTTATTATAAGTGAAATTCAAGATTATATTTAGGGAACAGCCTAATTTTAATTCTTGTAATGTGTAGAACAAATGTCAGCTAAATCCACATATGAATTCCTTTTTGAAATCAGCAAGAAAGCAAAAAGAAAAAAAAAAAAAAGAAAGAAGGATCTCTCCAAAAGAAAATTTCTAATCTTGAACAAAGCTTTCTTGTCTTGTCAAATTTTAAACACTGTTTTTTCAGTGGCAGAAGTCTGAGAAGGTAACACTGCTCATGAAGCTTCTCACTGATGAGATTCTTAGAAATAACTCCCCTCAGGTAAAGAATGTCACAAATAGCCAGACAAGTAATAGCTTAATTTTAGTTATCTAAAGCACAGAGCAATGCAGATGAGTTAAATCAGTTATTTGCTAAGAATCACCTTTCCCTCTCTTTGGAGAGTTTAAAGAGATGACCCTTCTGCATGAATTTCACTGTGAATTCCTTTGCAGCTCAACTGATTGAGCACTGGAGGGAGGTATGTGTGAGGAACTCTGCTTGACTGATGTGTTTTGATAAATGTCACTCACTATTAATTGGCAGAGAACATATCTTAGCAGTGGTGGAAGTATGTGGTAAAAGGAGGGCCCTGAAGAGTTCAGGTATGTATAGCAGAACAGCTGCTTAATGTTACCACCCCTACCTTAAAAAACCAAAACTGTACATTGGGTTCAAAATCTCAGATATTAAGAAAAGCAAGTTCTATCAAAGAGCTTTGCTTCACCTTCTAAATAAACATGGTTTCCTTCTAGCACAGCTTTCTTTGCTTGTTAAACTTATTTATCAAACAGTATGAATGAAAAATAAAAAAGAATGGTCAATATTTGCCTACTTAGCTCTCAATAGGTCTTGATCTTTTAGGGCTGAGCCTTGCAGGTAGATAACTCTTTGGGACCACATTGGGATTTGTAACACCCTTCGGACCTGAGCATCCATCTCCGTAGGACACAAAATAACCACATAATAGTCCTGTCAAAACAGAAGAAAAAGGGGAAATAGTCATGGTTAATGTTGCTGGAGAATGAGTCACCAGTAACTTGAGATGTCAAAAATGTCTCAGATAAGACGCTGACAGGCAGAATTTATTTCCTCAAAATTTCTCCTTCACATTAATGGGCCAATCCAAACTGCTTCCTGTGCTACTTGGAAAAGCAAGGATGGTTTGAAGAATCCATAAGTGCACAAATGAAAAGGAGGGAAAAGTGGAACATGGGAGAGGAGAGCTTAGGCCAGGCTGGTGATAGAAATCTCGCTTTCTGCAACACAGAGATTTCTTAAGAAAGCAAAATGTTATTGGATGCAGTGCACCATCTGTATCCTTCAGCTTCTTGGTACACAGAATCACTAAGGTTGGTAAAGATCTCCAAGATCATTGAGCCCACCTCAATTTCAGCTGTGAAGGGAATGTATGTGAGCCCTTTTAAGTTACCTGTGTAGTATTGGGGCTTTTCTTCTTTGTTTCCAGTGTATCACAGAGCTTGACTCATTCTTCAGCTTAGTGAACAAAATGTTGTGTTTCAATTTGTATTTGTATCTATAAAGAACTGGATTTCTTTGTGCAATTGCTTATGCCTCTTACTAGCTAATTGTTCTGGGGAATATATTGGATTTGGGATTTGGCAAATTGCTGCTCAGCCGTTTGAAGGTTGTATTTGTGTGATTCTTGCAGTGATTAATGAAGCATGATACCACAGGTAACTTAGCAAAAGACACAGAAAAGGTTTACTAAAAGGGAGAGTCTGTAGCAAAGACAATGATAACAAATCCAAATTGATATCTCATAGAAATAAGCTTCTAGATGTTCCATAAGCCATTTGACAAGTTTGCATTACCTAGGGAATATGTGTGCACTAACAAAATCTGTGTATTCTGTCAACATCTTTGTCCCTTGAAGTACATGTATTTATTTCTTAATTTCCACAATTCCAAGAGGATCTTATCTCTGCAAGGCTGTACAATGTGCTCTAGCATGACCCTGCCTGAGCAGGGAGGTTGGACCAGATGATCGCCAGTGGTGCCTTCCAACCTGACCCATACTGTGATTCCTAGCACTGGCAAAAAAACAAAGCAAAATGTGAAAACCAAAAGATGTTTTTAATTGTGCGGATTTTTGGATCCAGTCCCGAAACAATGGGGAAAAATTAAATTGAATAGCTTTCATTTATTTTCTGGTTTTTGGGTAGAATCTAAGGAATTTACATGGAAATATCTGTTTCTAAAAAGATTGGCACAATTCAACAAGACACTATTTCTACCTATTTAGTCTTTTCCCCTCAATACCTCAAATTAAAATGCCTCCAAACTCTGAATCTCAGCTTCTTACTACAGGTATAGGTTTCCAATTCAACTATGTATTCCCAAAATCAGTTTTACAAATTAAAAACATTTTCAGATACTTTTCTTAAAACAAACAAACAAAAAACCAAGCAAAAACCAAAACAACAATCAAACAGGGGTTTTGGGCGGGGGATTTGGGGGATTTATTTTTCCATTCTCAGTACCTGCAGTCTGGGGTGGGCATAGAATTCATTTAAGAAATCCATGAGTAAGTCAATCTTCAGAGAGCTCACACACAGCACAACGTGTTTTTCTGTCTGAGCTCTGTATCTGCTGTAGTTTCCTCCAGACTTTTGCCTCTCCATCCACAAATATGCCAGCTGTTCAAACTGCAAGAGATGCTGACTGTCAGTGAAATAGAGACCAGTAGGTGAGGGCTACAACTCTAGAATGACTTAGCAATGTTCCATTGCTCATCTCATCCCCCCAATGAAAAGCTGCCTTTAGCCCCAATATCTTTTTCTTTGTAAAATGTTCTCTAAGTAAGGTGATCACAAACCACAGCAATAGTGCCAGAGTCTATCACATAAAAACAGCAATGAAAATTCATTAAAATACCAGGGGAATACACTAAATCACAGGAGTTTTAAAAAGAATGAAGGCTGGTACCTTATTCCTTTAAGTATTTTATGCCTCTGAGCTCTTTTTCCAGTATTGTTACATAACTGCTTCCCTTGTATGAAAGGTTAAGTTTTCACACACATACTGTGAATAGACTTGGAAAGAGGCACCATTTTCTCTTAGTTTGGGCAGTAAATGTTCCCAGAGATTTTATAATGTTCTGAAGGTGATGTTCTGTAAACTCTCTTAACTGCCTTATAATTTTAGATACAACTTAAATACACAGCAGCTGCTGATACAGAAATTTTGCCTTTGTCAGCTGAACAATATATTCAGGTAAGAGAATAACAGTCTGTAAAGAAACATACAAATACCAGTTAAAGCTTCTTGTAAGTAACACATGCTTAATACTGAGATCAATTTAACTGTATGGCTGTGTGATAGCATCTTTTTCTCCTCCACCTTCCACTGATGGAGAGGCTGGATCATGAATAATAACTGATTTCATTTCATTGCAGGGCTCAGGAGAGAATGCCTCCCACTCCATTATGTGTATGGAAAACTATATGAAGCCCCATTATCGCTACAAAGCTATAAAATAAAGCAGCTAATAATAGGTAAATTTATGTGAAATTCCAGTAGATTCTAGGTTATGTACTGCTCCTGTGGGAGCCTCAAGTATATATCAGAACCACCTTAAGGATGAAATTTCTATGTCCTAGAAAATACCAAATTTCTTAAAGAGAGCACATTTTAGTTTTCAATAGAATCTATATTTTACTAATTTTTCACTGGGTGAGAATATAATTGTGTTGGTGCATATGGCTATGAATACATACATTCAATATTTAATTAGAGTGTTAAATAACTTCAAGAAAATTATTGCTGAAAGCTTGAGCTTCCACCCTCCCAGGGCTTGCGTGTTGTCTGCCCACACTGAGCTTTAGTTCTCTGCCAAAGAAGCAGAGACTGGAAACTATGGCTGTGTGAGAAACTCTGGAGCATCATGGTCTAGCAGGTCTGCTGTAAGCTTTGATAAAAATGCAGAGTGTCTCCCCACATCCTCTTTTGCTGGCACAAGGGTGGGTGATCACCCTGTGTGGAACAGTGAACATCCTGGCAGGGTTTCCCACGTAACCTCAGGGTTTCTGTCATCCAGCCTCACCTAATGAGCTGGAAAACGCTTGGTACAAATTGAACAAAGCTGACTGACTCCTTGAAATACTTGGATTTTCATAAATTGCTCTTTCCCTGTTGAAACTGTTAGAAGTCCTAAACTTAGGCAGGCATGAAAAATTCCTAACTGTGCTGCTGGCTCTGTGTGCATGTGTTCCATACACAGCTGTGAACCCAATTTGCTTGAGTTGCAGATTTAATGAGATTTTTTTTCAAGTTAGCACTGAGCTGTAAGAGTAAGAGAGGAAATGGAGAGAACCAAGATTAGAAACAGGGAGAGCCTGCAGAGGAAAAGCTGTACTCATAAAGAAAGTGCTGGCTACTGTTGTGGGGGTTTTTTGGTAATTGCTCCATTAATAACAACTCCATATCTCAGGATAAAGGAAGGCTTCTGTGGTACATGACTGGTGCAAAAAACTTTCATCAGCACTTTAAAACTGTTATCAATGCCCTGTTTTTTAGTATAAATCTAGAGTATATAGGAGAACATACAGGAACAAGGGAAAAAACCCACAATAGGAGAGACAGATGGTTCTTTTTTCTGACATTTTCTGTGCAATAATAGTAGTAACGATAAATTATTTCAGTTCCTTTGTTTCAAAAACAATTCTAAAGAGAAAAAAAAATAATCCGCATTTACCTGTATGGGCAACACCACAAGAGCAACACAGATCATAATGACAACAAGCAGCTTTGAAGGCCATATCTTGGGTGTAACATCCCCAAAGCCCACAGTAGAAAATGTCACTATGCAGAAATAAAGGGAGTCAAAGAGAGTCAACCTGTTTCCTGCTCGTTCCAGATGCTGAATTCCACAAATACTACGTAGAAAAGAATGAATAAAGACATGAAAAATAAAAACTGTTCAAGCTTGATGATTATACGTGCAGAAAACTATTTTCAGAATTTATAAATTGTTTAGCAAAGACATTTTTTTCAAAGAAAAGTAAAAATTAGTATCAAACCAGAAGTGCTATATTGTTACAACTTTCAAGAGTCATTTGTAATAAAAAACACATTTTTGATTATTCTAATATGATAGGCACAACTGTTGCTAGGTTTTGCTTAGTGGCTGTTGTGAAGGAGAAGTGGTATATAGAACATCATGGATTGATGCAATTCCTTTCTAAACCAGAACAAAACAGATGGTATAGAGCTGCCACCATTCAACATTTTTTATAGATATGTTTCAACTTTTTCAGGGAGGTTTGCTTGCTGCCATGGCCAAGAAAACTGCACATAGAGCTTTCTGTAAATCTATCTCTCTTTGTGCTAGGCTCTGGCCCTTTCTGTGGCAGAGTTACTGATGTGAACCAGTTCTGAGAGCACAGTTGAATATTGGGAGGTTTCTTGTGGTACAAATGGGTACTGACTGTCTGGAACAAAGTGAATGTGAGAACTGCAGTGTACTGAATTATCAGAGGAAAGAGCATCCAGGGTCAGCCTTCAGGTAGAAGTGGGAGGTGGCAACTGGCGAGATTCTGCTCACAGAAAGTACAGAGTAGAAATACGGGGCTGGCTGGGTCTGTAATAACAGAGCAAGTGGAGTTCATCCCTTCCAGTCACACATTCCTGAGAAGAAGTAAACAGCAGCCCAAGTTAACTGGTAATTACTTTTCTTGGAATCAGCATGATATGGTTTTGGTTTTGAGAAGCTGTAACAGAATCTCTCCAGAGGTCATCCTGCTATTTCAAACATTGCAAATTTCAAAAATATTTCACTTTGTAAATATGTATCACGGCAAAGAGCTTCCCAAGCTTAAAATATGATCTTCTCTGATACAGTGGAATTACTTAGTTCACTTCAGGCTTCACTTAAATTATATTCATCTATGTAAAAAAAAACCCCAAAAAACCTCAATGTGTGAACAACCCTGAACATCACTTTTCCCCCTTGGAGCTAGCAGGATGACTTTTCCTCAGAGAATTAGATAAGTAATTAATAAATCATATCATATTCCTCAGTAATTATTCTAGAACACACTAAATATTATTTCTTCATGTATGGTATCCAGATGGTAAGAGTCCCTCATTAATATCTGCCATGGGAAGACCTTTGCATCACCAGGGAGACCCTGTGTTTATAACAGTGTTAGCAGTTGTTCTTCTTTTCTCTGTTCTGTTCTCCAAATATAATTTAGCTGTGGGCAGTGGCATTTCCAGAACATATGGATCAAATTCCCTGTTTCCTTTTCACAGTTCTAGCATTTGTAGTTTTCACACATCTCAAAATGTTCTAAAAAGGGTGGGCTTTTTTCCCTGTTGTTTGCCTAAGTTTCATACTTCAGTCAGAACTGATATTTATATTCCTATCCAGTTCATCCCACATTTTTCACTGGAGTTGTAATCCAGATCTTCCATTATTTCACTATGTTCACAGTTTTGCTGGAGGTTTTTTTGCTTTTTTTTTGGGGGGGTTTTTTTTTGGTTTTTTTTTAGTAAAAGGATAATTATATTTTTGTCCCTGAAAATACTAACAGAAGGACTGTAAGTAATTATGCTAATGAAGCTTTCTTTTGGTCTCAGACAAGGAAGTTTCTCAGCTAAAGCCTTTTCTAGTTTTAATATGAAATAATGAAGTATATTGTAAAGGCACTGAAGCATGGCAAAATGAGCTATTTTAATATCAATATTCACATACGTTATGTTTAGTTTTAAAAGCAGAATGGAAATGGATTTTTAATTCTTTGTTTTTATTATTCCTGTTCACCTGTGTGCATTTTCTTCCCTATAGTTGCCTTTTGTGGATATATCCCAAAATACATAACCTTGACTTCAGGAATTAAGCTCATAAGGGCCAGGAAAGCAACAGTTGCACTGAGCCAGGGATATGGTTCCCCTCCAACAGGACTATTACACCACTGCCCTCAGCAGATTAAATATCTGTAGATGGGGTTGTATTGAACCATAATGCATAAGCCTATCATTGGTGGAAATGTAATTTTTATGGTGCTCATACCTGTGAAATTGCTTGATGTTTGTAAATGCAAAAGGTCAGCTTTACCACCTGTATCTGACAGGATGGATTAAAATATAAATTTTTGGTACCATCAGGCTGGTTTTTTCTGATTTTCAAGGAATTAGTAATGTTTATTTCTTGCTTTTTTTTTTTTTTTGTAAAATGTTAACATTTTTAATAGCTTAATGATAGAAAAATTCAGATCTTGAATTGTTGTTGTTGTTATTATTAAGATTTCCATAGCCAGCTGAATTGAAATAAGGTAATATACCATGAACCATTCCAGCTTTTTCTAAATGAACAACAGAATTCCCATTGAATTTGGTGAGATCAAGATTTCATTTGATCAGGTCTATCCCCTTACAGTTCTATGTATTCCTATTCCTTGAAGCCATCAAAATAATGTGTCTGATCCAAAATGTGTATTCAAGATGTTTTTCATTTAACTTAGTGGGCATGAGCCAGAGCTTCCCACGTTTAGTTAACAATTAAAGTCAGCAAGATGAGGGAGCTGCTTCTTTGCAGAAGAAGAAATTCAGCTCTTTTAACAACTTGTTGATGAAATTTATTTCCTTCCTCAAAATTATTTGTGCCTCATTTGCAGTTGTACCAAACTGTACTTGAAGCCCTCACCCTGTATACAAGGGAATGATAAATCCAAAATCAGGGTACCAAGTCTGGGTGTTTTGGTGCTCTGCTGTTTGTCTTTACTGGAGCCAGAGAGTACCAAACTGCAGAAAAAACTGATTTTCAAAGAGACAGTCTAATTAAAAATTAAAATATCACCTCTGTGACTACTCTCCCAAGAACATTACACTTTCAGCTCACCAACTATGCCTTTAGAGAAATGTTACTTAGCATTGATAGCACATTTCCACCTGTCTGGGAATTACCTGATTACACTGCAGAGAGTGCAGTGGAACATCAGTGGATGCCCAAGAAGCCAAGTCCACATGGATTAGTTATTCCATTCCCCACAGCTCATTGACATCTTTTAATACATCCCAATTCCTAGATAAGTAGTAGTATCAGCTTTCTTTTTCAGAAATGAAGTGTTAATCATTACTTTCAGCATAAATTCTGCATGTAAAAGTACACTTATTTCTTATGTTTCCTGACATAATGAAATGTGCAGTAATTCAGGCTTCATATTTTGGCTGGTTTGATATTTTTCGTGATATTTTTACCTCCTTGTTTGCTTCCTCTTCCTCTTTCATCTCCTGAAGCTAAGTAATTTATTTAGTCATCCTTGGATAAACAAAATTATTTCAAGCAGGAAAGGAATGTACAGTAAAGGCAATGCTAACACCTACCTGTTTTTGTGGGGAAAATAAACCACTGTAATAATCAGTACACAGAGAGTCCCTAGTCAAACATAAGGCAAATTCAGCACCTTCTATGCCAATTTTAGGACTCCTGTGAATTCAGGAAAGTTGTCTTTTCACAATGGATCTAAGGGAGGCACTCACAACAAAACAAAATTGCTTCAATGCAGAGATTTAGTGTTTTTAAAAAACCCCACAGAAAGCCAAACTAAGTGTCTGCTGAAGCAAAAGTAGCATCAGAAAATGTATTACAAAGATCCAGGGGATAGAAGTATCTTTCCAAACACTCTGCTACCACTGCACTTTGAAAACAAAAAGTAAAGAGAATAACATGTAATCTCTGAAGATTGGTAATGTTTATTTTGGGTATTATTTGAACTTTTGAGAGTTCAGTCTCTGTTTTACTGGAAGCTTTCTTTCTAGTTCCAGGAATCTTTGTTTGCTTGAGTATCTTATGTGCCAAAACCAAATCCTGTTTGTAAATAAGCTGTCTCTATGCTTATATATAAATAAAATAAATACTGCAGAGTAAAATAATTCCTGAGACAGTCAGTTTTTTATCATGCTGCAGAAGCATGTCACAGAAATGGATGTAACAAGAACCATTTGGATAGTATTTTGCAAACACTGTAGATTAACTACCCTTATTTATAACCAATTGTTTAGAGTCTATTTGATATCAGTTTATATTTTCATTTGTCAGCATTGACAAATTAATCTGATTTCTACATTTTCACTTCTAGAGAAAATTATTGTTTACACATGCAGCTTCTTGAGGTCTAGAATAATGCACCAGAGGCTGAGCCAAAAGTCAGAGCTGTTTCTGTGTGCTGAGGATTAGGCAGCAATTGCCAGCACTTCCCTTTGGACCTGCACCTTTGAGCTCCACCTCGTGTAATGATTTTGCCATGTTTGCAGCAGCTGGCTGAAGGGCCTGGCTAATGAATGTGTTGAAATCCACATGGATCCATTTTAGCAGATTCAGTGTGATTCTGGGGCAGAGGCTCAGTGCTTCTGTACCACACAAGCTACACCTGAACTCACTCACAAGAGTAGCAATCCTGCTTAAGCAAATGTCCTCAGCAGTTTCTCACATCTAAAACTCTGAAAAATTTCCTCATATCTGACCAGAGAATTGTGATGCTAGAAAAAAATTAAAAATTAAACTCTCATCATTTGATTGTCCTGTACTGCCAATTGTTGCTAATGTTATTTTAACAATTTATGAGCTTACTATCACAGATTTTTTCTTTTTTCTCTATGAGAAAAATTGGAATGAACTATCAGTCAACAAAACTGTTAACAGACCACTAATTCTAGCAAATATTCACGGATAAAGTACAAATACAGTGAAATACTGAAGAAAAGGACCATGTTGACTTTCCAGGAAATACAGACAAGCATTTGAGACATATTTTACCATGTTAGTGACTGTAACTGCTTATGGAAACTTCCTCAATATCTACACCAAAATAAAATGTACCTATAGAACATTTCATTCTTCAGTCTCACTCTAGAAGATCTAATATCTCATAAA